CCCCCTCTCGGCGGCCCTGAGTTTCTCACTCGAAGTTTCCTTTCCCAACCAATTTTTTAACATACAATACCGTCCTCCGAAACCCTCATTCCACCATTTTATACCATGTTATAATGGTATATACTACTAATAAAATTGTAAATTATATTACAAAACAGACAGACTTTAATTCCATAACTGCTCCTGATCAGCTTTCCGCTCGGAAATTTCCATCTATAAGAACCTGCAATGTATCGTATCTGACCATACTATATCATACCATACGTGCCACGCTATTTCTTGTCACAACATAGCTGAATGCGTTTTCTTGCACATTTTAGGTGATCCAGTTGTATCAGGTGTTACAAATCAATCATGCCGTCATTATATTAGGTTTATCTGGCACTGGCAAGACCACAATCTACAAGACTTTATGCAAAGCAATTAACAGTCTCAACACTCAATTTGCCTCCCGTGTTTCAGAAAAAGGTGAAAGTAGAGCGACGAAAAAAACAAAATATCCGAAAGTTAATCTCACCGTTCTGTTTCCGCGAGCAATGAGTGAAAGTGAGGTAAGTATTCATTGGTAAAAATTGTTTGTTTGCGTGCGTGCGTGCGTGCGTGCGTGCGTGCGTGCTTGCGTGCTTGCGTGCTTGCGTGCTTGCTTGCTTGCTTGCTTGCTTGCTTGCTTGCTTGCTTGCTTGCTTGCTTGCTTGCTTGCTTGCTTGCTTGCTTGCTTGCTTGCTTGTTTGTTTGTTTGTTTGTTTGTTTGTTTGTTTGTTTGTTTGTTTGTTTGTTTGTTTGTTTGTTTGTTTGTTTGTTTGTTTCATTAGCTAGATAATTATGCTATAGTTATTGAATTTTAAGAAACTGGCGTTTGTTTGTTTATTATTTTTATTCGATTTATAAGCTCGTGCAAATTCAAAGTCACTTACATGCCTGAACACATGCAAAATAATAGAAATAGCCTCTCAATCGGAATGGCACAACAATGACACAATAAAATTGTCTTTTATTTAGGCGCTTGCCACGTATTTCCTTTTTGGCAACTGAATTTACTTTTTTGTCACTGAATTTTGATCAAATTGCGCTGCATGCTCTTACGGTCTTATTGGTCTTACCTAATCAGGATGAGATATTATTAAGAGGAGATTTTTTTTATGTTACGTAACACGCTCTCAACCTAATGCGTATAATATGCCACTTGAGGTTATGACTAAATCAAAAATGTTTATTTTTCGATACGTTTCTCAATCGGCAAACAAACTTAGAAAGTATGTTTGGTGCTTTATCTGTAAAATAATGCTAAAATGAAGAGATTTTAGATGATACGCCAAAGAGAAAACGATGTCTGAAGTTCAGTAAGTTTTGCTTATATGGCTGTAAATATGACGTCAATTTTAAAGCATTATTGATAATTGTATTTTAATTGACAATTTTTAAATATTATTTTATGTTTCTCAACCGGCAGATACACTTAAAAAGGTTGCTAACTCTATAAACTAGAGAATAAAGCTAAAACAAAGTAATTTTGAGAGGAACGCCAAAAAGAGTTTAGGTTTTGAACACTTTCCATCGCAAATACGTGACATTGAAAAAAATTGCCTCTTAAGGCATAATCAAACGAGAATGAGAGTGACTGAGATCTGGCAGTCACGCGACCTTGGTTAGCAGTTCTTAAATGCTTTTCCAACACTATAACACTCATCAAACCTTATTTTGTTAATGTAGAGCTTACGATCTCTCATGTAACAATGCGTGACTGCGAACTTTTATAAACTCTCATCGTCGCTTTAGACCTGTAGCCGCGGCAGCAATTGGGAAAAATGCAGTTATGTGAGTGTATAGGTTCTCTAGCAGGAATCGAAGCATCGACCATGTATTTTCGGTGCAGCCTTCCACCAGTTTAATATACTTGAAGAGTTTTGTAGCTGGAAATTTCAAGTGTAAATGTTATGCTTTTATTAGACCTATAACTATAGTTGGAAAAAATGCAACTGTAGGCCCGTAACAGGAATCGAACCTGCCTCCCTGTCAGAGTTAATTTCAATATAATTCTGAAAACTTGGTCTGACATTCTGTCAGACCAATCCATGGTTTGGTCAATCATGATCGGACACTTGATTATTCTCTTGATGAGGGAAATTGTCACTTGTCACAGTACTATAAATCAAAACCGTAACCGCCAAAAGTCCAAAACCATATGTTCATATGCCTAATGGTTAATTGAATTACACAATATCAACGTAAACTTACTCAGTAGCAGTATATAATATAAAATATTTCTCTTAACAAACGAGATGACATTGTTATTGTATGGATCGCGACGAAGTCTGATTCCGTGATTGTCTAGCTGACGGAATCTTTGTTTTCATGTGTTAAAGATTACAGATTTTGATAAAAAAGATTTGCAACAATAAAGGAAGAAATATTCAAATTAATGAGACAAAACGATCGGCCATAATGTCCGTGCAGAGTAATCAGTAGACGGCCATATGAGCATTTTGCTAGGCTAATGGCAGGTGGCCGACCGTTATATTGATTCCTGCTCCCTGTGACTCCCTGTCATTTGGGCATCTCACTCGATAGAACGAATTGTTAAGGAGGCTCCCTACAGTTTCCAATATATATCAGTGTTTTAAACTAAAAGCTAAAAAAACTAATTTTCCCCACAAACCATTGTTTCCTCTTATGTAAAAAAGTAATTTTAACCCACAATCGCTACTCTTCATGTTAGCATGACAACATGACGTCACCATCTAGGCCATCCATGACGTCTCCATCATGGCCTAAATCAACCAAAAACGCCGTCTTAGCGGACAAATAACCACGGTGACCTACCTGTTTTATTGGAGAAAATACATTGTTATGAAGTTTTGAATCTTTTTTGAAAGTTATTTGAAAATCGCCAGTGTAGTTTTCGAGATACTGAATTTTAGCCTTTCCAAAGGCTAAAATGCAATCTTAAAGGCTGAAATTCAGTATCTCGAAAACTACACTGGCGATTTTCAAATAACTTTCAAAAAAGATTCAAAACTTCATAACAATGTATTTTCTGCAGTTAAAAAGGTAGGTCACCGTGGTTATTTTATTTAGGACATATAGATGGTGACGTCATGTTGTCATGGTAACGTGAAGAGTAGCGATTGTGGATTATAATCACTCTCTTATGTAAGAACATAGACAATCCAGAAGACATTGTCTTCTGGATTGTCTATGGTAAGAAGAAACAATGGGTTGTGCAAAAAATTAGATTTTTGATTCAAATAGCTTTTAATTTAGAACGCCGACATATATTGGAAACTGTAGGGAGCCTCCTTATTACAGGGTTTTGTAGATGGAAATTTCGAGTGTATTTTTTATACATTTATTAGACCTGATCTGGACCAAAAATCCTGATTTCTATGATGTGAAATTTTTGAGTAGCTTCGTGTACCATTATTATAGTTATTTGGAAGGATTGATCCTGCAACAAATTCCTGGACGGATGGCATTCTCGTAAAATGTGCTCGTAATGCCCAAGCTGTAAAAAACGCATCGGAAAGTTTAGCGTCAAAAAGCAAGCATGAGCAGGTCCGTGATTTAACAACAAGAAGTGGTTATCATCAGTGGATTGTTTTAGATGGACCACTGGATCATGGCTGTGTTGATCAAATGAATTCACTGCTTGATGACGGTCGATCACTCAGCTTAGCTAGTGGAGAGATTGTTCCTTTTTCAGGTGAGTAAATTGTAATTTCTAATAACCAAGACCAACAACCAAATGCAACAGAGTGAATGCACTCTCTTCTCGCTCTACTATCAACTGGCTGGTACCCAGTCCCTGAAATGAGGATTGAAAAATAACCGTTCATGGTGGGAATGACCAAGGCTCAAATAGTTCGAAATCCTGCTCTGTAGATCACATAATTTCCCACTCCGTGTGTCCGATAAGCACTTCTAAGGTCAATAGACAATTCCCATTATAGACTAATTTTAAAACTAGGCAAGGAGATACAAATAAATCACCACAGCTAAAAAGAGCATACTAAAATTAGTAAAATTGCAAAGTTTGGTTGTGAAATGTTGTATAATGCGGAAAATATAGCCTTGCACAGTTTGCAAATTTTGTATATACTTTTGTATTGCGTGCGGAAATTCCTACCACATTTGGGGCCAAATGTGGTAGGAATGTGATAGGAATCTCCGCACGCAATACAAAAGTATACAAAATTTGCAAACTTTGCAAGGCTATATTTTCTGCATTTTACAACATTTCGCAACCAAACTTTGCAATTTTACTAATTTTGGCATGCTCTTTCTAGACGTGGTGATTTATTTGCATCTCCTTGCCTAGTTTTAAAATTAGTCTATAATGGGAATTGTCTATTACGACCTAATGAAAACTATATTAACTTCACAAACAGAACTTAGTTAACTTAACAAAGTTTGACATTAAAAAGTGTTATAAAGATGGTTGACAAGTCTGTACCATAATTAACGCGTGCATGTGCGTTAAGCGCAAGAAGAACAAAATACACGACAAAAACAGAAATGCTGTGATGTTTTCACACTTTGCTCTAACTCCAAGACGAATTTAGCGTCTCTTTGTTTTACCATATCCGAGAGATATGATTTCTTTCGTATCTCGTCCTATACTTATTGACTTTATCGCACTGGTGTGAACCAGTCTAAAATTTTGTAAAGTCCGTATCAAAGTGAAATATTAGAGAGATTCAGATTTGACTTCCACTACCGCTACCATTAATGGACTATTAACCAATCAGATGCGTTTGATATGTCCGATCAACCAATCAAATGTGTATTAAGCCAGTGAGAGGTAGCGGTATAGTGGAAGTCAGATCTGCTCCTCTCTAATATCTGCAAGCATTATTTATTATACAGGGTGTATAAAAAAACCTACAAACCCTTTGAAATACAATGTTTTTAGAATTTGCATGATTCAGAACTAATTGATCCCAAGCGTGCGTAAACACAATAGTTGACCCATTCGCAGTCGAACTGATAATTAGTTTTTCTGCATTACAAATACATTTGTGTTACTCTAATGTCTATCAACGCGGTTAATTAGAATGTATTTTCAAATCCCAGGAGCAAAATAAGTAGCACAGACATTGAAATGCTCTTAAGCAGCAGAATTATGCAAATTACAGAGCTTGCAGGTTTTTTGATACACCCTGTATTGTATTAAATCTGATTATTCGTCAATTTTCTTCAGAAGCCATAAATTTCCTTCTCGAAGTGGATGACCTTCAGAACGCTGCCCCGGCAACAGTCTCACGATGTGGTATTGTTTATTGTCCTGATGGTACAGTGGGCTGGAAGAGCATGTTTAAATCATGGTTGAAAGGAGCACATGCAACATGGAATATATCCATTCGAGGGTAAGTGATGAACCCTTTCACTACTCAACTCATTGCAATTGGTTCCAGTGGAATCCCATCCACTCCTTGTTTTTAGGGTTTGAAAATATTACACCCTTGTGCCAATAGAGTAGTTTATTTTGTGCAAAATCCCATGATCACGGCATAGAAAGACACTTGTACATGTTCACTATGCTTTTCGTGTTCAGAGTTCTGAATTTTTCTGTTGTAAGTTTTGACCTTCAAATAATTCATTAACTAGATTTTCTTACGCCATGTGACCAGGCCTTGTCCGCCATTTTTGGCTGGCAACCCGCGCAGCAACAAAGGATGATAACAAGTGAAGGAGCGACGATTCACTTTACTGAATTCATTCGCTTGTTGCCGTCTACTTTACAGTGCTGTGCAATTTGCCACCCAAAATGGCGAATAAGGCCTGGTAGCATGGCGGGAGAAAGGCTAATTAGTTTTCTTGTTTCAGTCTTGGTATTATTTCTTCCCTGATGGACCATTGTGTTGAAAGGACTCTTACATTTCTCAGCGATCATTGCACACGAAGTTTGTACTCAAACTATAACGACAAGCAAATGTGTGTAGGCAGTGCACGGGGGGTGCACGAGATCCAACGTATGCTTACCATTCTCTCATCACTCTTTGATAAGTACATCTTGAGAGACAACGATGAAACACTTGATATACTAGACCATCTCAACAATCAGCAATATTCAAGATCAAGTTCAAGCAGCGAGGCAGGTAGCGGAAGAAGCAGTAGTATACCCGCACATGATGCTAACACGGTCATCAGTAGTTTTACGTATGCTTATATTTGGGCATTTGGAGGAGACCTACACGAAAAGTAAGTCGAATAATTGTTCCCTAATAAGGTGGGTGAAAATTTCGCGATACGTCCCACGATTGAAGCTCATCGTAGTTATGATCATGCTGTCAGTGGCGTAGCCAGGGAGGAGCAAGAGGGGCTCTACCTCCTCCCAATGGACAGAAGGCTGCCCTTGTGAAAAGCTGAAATCCGGGCAGGAATGGGGGGGGGGGTACGATATGTGAATAATGTGGTCTTCCCTATCTAGAATGTCTATGAATGAAGAAGTCTATGATTGTTGAAAGCAGATTTGCACTTGAAAAAACCTTTGCAAGCACATTTGAACTTGAAAGCCCCCTACATTCCTTGCTGCCTTTGGCGCTCGCATTGGAAATGCCATAAAAATTTCGACCCCTCAAGTTTAGACACAAACAACGCGATTGCATGCTGGTGTGACCAAACGTAAGTTCATTGGGTTTTCCTCACTTTAAGCGAATTTTGAACTTCATTGGTTAAACCAAGTTTTTGGACTTTAATTTATAATCTTGGTACGGACTGGAATTGGACTACTTTTGCACCCACCGGTTCTCGAACAAATGTGAAAGGAATCAAACTAACCTGAGGCCGAAAATTGTTATGTACCTTTGCATGCGATGTAGTTATCTAGATTTTGAGCATCTCACTCGATAGAACTTACAGTTGAAGGGTTTTTGTAGATGAAAATTTCGTGTGTAAATTTTATACAATTCTAGACTTAACCAGGAGCAACTGCGAAAAATGCAACTATAGGCCAACTCGCAGGAATCGAACCTGTTGCTCTGCGATTCTGGGGAAATGGTCAGCAATGTGCTTCTCTGTAAATCAAAATAGTTTAAAGCATTGTAATTTAACTTTCTTATTCCTAACTGTTTTAGTTGTGTTGAAGCATTTGATGAATTTTCCAAAGCCTTGCTATCCAGTGGACCTCATCCTCACAGCAGTTTACCACCAGTGACTGTCTTTGATTACCACCTCGATTTTCCCACGGGAACTCTACTATCTTCAACTGATAAACTGAGTGGAAAACCTCGTGTTATCGCATCGTCATATGTTGTTGTACCGAGGGTATGCTAAGTTAACCATCTCTCACCCTAAATACCAATGAATGCCATTTTATATTATCAAAGTTTTAGATCCAACACCTATTTGCAAGACTGGTGAATTCTGCAGCAGAATCTGCTAGTGAGGCAGCATCTTCCTGAGTCGTGGTACATCAGTTGGAGTTTGATTTCAGCATCCATTCTCGTCCCCACTAGTTCTGGTTCGCTTGGTGAACTCTAGACCATGCCTACCTCGATTCAAAGATTGGCTACATGTACCTCCACAAAAATAAAATCTACATGCATGCCTATTTGTTTTTCACGATTAATTTGTGATTCACTACTTATTCTTTCTCCCTGAAATTTCTTTAGGACGAGGTTTACTTCTCTTTACTGGATATTTTACTGTCTGCAAATAAGTCCGTTCTTTTGGTTGGACAGCCTGGTTGTGGAAAATCATCATTTATGCAGGTACGGTTCACTATTTTGTGTGCGAATTTCCTGATAACTTCACTGCAGACGGTGAACTTATATTGAATTTCTAACTGCAATTGTTCAACAATAATACTGTTGAGGAAAAGTTGTTGGCCTTATTTTGTCTTACAATTTTCCCCTCCACTGTATCCCTCTTTCTGAGAGAAACGAAGCATCACAATAATTGTACACCATTTTCGCTATCATTTTCGCTATCATACAACAACATTGCAATAGCAAACAAATCCCGACCATGATCAAGCGGTATTTTCAGCGTACACTCAGATGACAGGATGAGTCTTTTACTCTGTAGTAAAAATTCTACACTTTGTAGAATTCAGAGCCTTTGTTGTACTGTAGCAAGCCTATAAATTGTTCCCTTAGGCAGGTTGAATCTAATTTTTTGTTAGCCAAAACGATCAAAATACCCGCAGTCCCGCCTATATAGTGCATTAAGTATTTGTTGGTTTTCCTCCTTGACACTTTCTTTGGTCGTCATTTTTTTATATATAGAATCTTGTCAATTCACGCTATAAATATGTCCGATTGTCCTTGGCTCATGGTATGAGCACGCAATTTCTGCAAGAAATCATTGAGTCAAAGGTTCAGGGTTCGAGACGACGAGAATCTGTGGGCAACAACCTCGTAATGAGTTCACCAAACACACGAAATGTATTCTTCTTGGATGACATGAACATGGCTGCAACAGATGGAACAAATAACCAGCCCTCCGCAGAACTTGTACGAAGCTTGATATCATTAGGTAAGTCTGAATTACTGCACGTATGTGTGTTGTGACAACATGATGGGCTGGGATCGAGTCTATAAGCAACCGTGGTCTAAGTTATACACTATAAAAGAGGAAGTTGAGATTTTGCCACGTTCAACATACATTTCTTTGGGTTAAAAGATAAAATATAAACACTTAATAATACTCTTATTGGATTCCGGTCTATAGACCCTTGTTGGACCTCTTGAGATAACATACAGGTTATAATTGAATGAAATATTAGTTTAGGAAATGTTAGTTTCGATTTTAGTTTTGTTTCAATCAACTCTTGAGTACGAATTGACGAAGAGTTCATGTATTGAAATTTTTATGTTCCAGGCGGCTTGTATGACAGACAAAGACTGTGCTTAAAACCGCTGGCTAATACATGTATCGTTGGCGCAGCCGTTCCTCCTGGCTCTCCTGGTGTTGGAGGTGGCGTGAGCAGTTTCGCAATATCTCCACGTCTTGCAAGGATCATGACTGTGCTGTCATTTCATGCTCTGTCTACAGCTACACTTCAGTCTATTTATTGCAACTTGGTTCAAACATGGCTTGAAGATTTTCCTGCCTATTCATTGACACACCATCACCAGTTGGCGAAGGTAAGTCATGCTTTGTGGAAAAAATAATAAAGGCCAAATTTGAGATTTTTAAAAATTTCACTCTCAAATGAAGGGTATTTTGCAACTTTGGACTAGATTAAAGTATGCTAGACAAAATTTCAATTTGCAGCATGTGATCAAAATAAGGAAGTGCGATTGGCTAATTTCCTTGCGATTTACCAAATGAACGAGACTTACTTTTTAAACTATATATCATGCTCAATTGACCACTTGCGTAATAGACTAAATTTTGATCTCAACAAAAATTTCATCACAGCTTGAAAGAGCATCACAAAATTAGTAATATTCCAAAGTTCCGTTGCGAAATGTTGTAAAATGCGGAAAATATAGCCTTCCGAAATTTTCAATTTTCAGTCATTTTAGATTACAAACGGGAAATTGACAGCCCCAAACCCTTCGAGTCTGTCAATTTCCCGTTTGTAATCTAAAATGACTGAAAATTGAAAATTTCGAAAGGCTATATTTTCTGCATTTTACAACATTTCGCAACAAAACTTTGGAATATTACTAATTTTGTGATGCTCTTTCAAGCTGTGATGAAATTTTTGTCTAGACTTGTTTAAATCAAAATTTAGTCTATTACGCAAATGGTCAATTGTGAAATCGCAACAGCTGTTATTATAATTGAATACGTCTATGCTACGGACCAGCGGTATCTGCATTATTTTGACATGGAGACGAGGCTATAGGGTCATGCTTTGTGTTTTTTGACCCTTTAGCCTCGTTTTCGTGCGTACTTCCACTGAGATACCGCTGGTTCGCCGCAGCGGCGTATTCAATTACGATAACAGCTATTGGTCATGCACAATTTTGAGACACATAATTTTTTTTCGTAGGTGAAAATTTAACCTGCTGTCTTGGTTTGTGTATTTCTGCACGATGAATTCATTTCACAATTTTAGAATATAAAATTTGGATTGATCCGGACAAGATTTCTGGAAAACTATTTCCGTGTTACTTTGTAAACCAGCTGTTGAGACGATTGCTTTGACGTTGTTGGCCCTGCAGAAGAACGGTTTCAGCTTAACTGGAACTAAAACAGTCGCACTCAAACCATATATAAAAGAACAGCGTTAGCTAAAATATTATCTGAAATATAATCATTGTTTTCCAGGCTATATCCAGTTCCACGATAAACTTGTTTGAAAGAATATCCGAAGACCTTCGTCCAACTCCGATACATCCGCACTATATCTTCACTCAACACGACATGGCTCGGGTATTCCAAGGCATGATGATTCTCTCCTCAAAAACAAAGACACGACCACGGGCCAAAGCGAGGAAGAAAGAGAATACCAAACAGAAAACCAGTAAGGAAACTGGTGGTATTCTGAATCAAAGTCACGAGGATGTGGAAAGAAAAAACACACAAGAAGAGAATAAAATTCATGAAGAGAAAAGGTATACGATTTAAAGAATATTCGGAATAAATTTTGAGTTTGCCAAAATTAGAAAAAATATCCCAATTGGCTTTCTCACACAGACCCGTATCCGCCATTTTTGGGGCGCTCTTTTCCCACGTCGGAGAACGTAGACAATCTAAACAATGTGTTAACTGTATATTTACATTATACACACAACTACACTGTTATAAAAAATCGCATTTCATGGTGTTTACACTCTCAGATTTGGGAGAAACAGTACCCCAAACATGGCGGATAAACTAATTGACGTACTTTTCAATTTGTTTTTTGGACCGACATCAGCGTACGATGGGCATCATGGAATTATTTGTCTGTTAGGTTTCGAATGTACCTCATGCATGTTTATTGCTCTTGACAAAAAGGCATAATTTAAAAAAAAAACAATTTGCAAAACTCGAAAAGAAGCAGTAAATATTTTTCCTCGGCAATATGTTTCCTACCAATTTTTTGTAAAATTTTAAACGATTTTGATCATCTTGATAACACTTGAAAATTTGAACCATTTCCATACTTTGAATTTCTAGGTTTTTTTAGAAACTTCCACGCATTTTCTAGAAAATTTTCATAATATGGAATTGTGCAAAACTTTGGAAATTGAATTTTTAGACTTTTTAAAGTAATTAATCGTAGTTTCCACAGTTTGGAAGTGTTTCAAATTTTCCAGTGTAGAAGTGAACTTGAAAATTCATGTTTTCGGTAAGGTGGTACTTTTATTACTGCAGTGAAAGCATACACCAAGTAAATCTTACATGGAGTTTAGGACGGGGTTAAATGGAATCTATTTCGACTAGTATTTGGTATATGCTGTTATATGAACTTTTATGAGTACATGTAATAATTTTGTAATGATAATACAGTATGTCCACCATAAACACATGTCCTCTTTTGTGTCTGCATCTGAGTAGTGAACGTATACTGTCGTATGTATAGTAGCTGTCATCATTACCTATACCATATAACAGGGCTCTAATTTTATCGCGGAAATCACGGCAATTGCCGTAGAGGGAGAACAAAATGCCGTGGATCATTGCGGCAACGACGGCAGTTTTTTGCCGTATAGTGCAATTTTTATACTATTCACTGTGCATTACTATTTTGATACTTGAATTCAGATGTTGATCAAATTATGCGTAAATCACTAGTTTATTTTAGTCTCAGTTTTCTTAAAATAAAAAACACTAAAGAAATACGTAGACATGTTTCTAGCTTGTCAAAATCCAAAGTAACAATAAAATTAAAGTTTCATTACAGTAATTTGAAAAATGCCGTGGAAACTGTCAAAATTGCCGTAGACAGCTGTTACGTTCTCCGGCAATTTTTAACGCCATTGCCGTCGATTGATTTCAGGGAAATTCGAGGCCTGCCATATAAGCTATGTTTGCTAGTTTTAAGTCTTTCACCACAAAATCATTTTAATTTGTTTTGCTGTACTTATTATTAGTTGTCTCTTTTTTGTAGTTTGCCTGTGGTAGTAAAGAAAGATACGTTAGTTTCAATCAACTGTAAAACTCCAGCTCTCACCACACCTTTGATCCGTGTTATACTTCGTCTCTGGTGCCACGAATGTACCCGAGTATTTTCCGAGAGGTTGATTGGCGAGGATAAGCTCTGGTTCTCATCGACCTTGCATAGCGTGGCTTTGGAGCATTTCTGTGAAACTTCGCTAGATTCATCATCGGAAGGTACAGTTCAGTATAAATATTTTAATAGTGAACTTTACTAGAGAGTTAAACGCGATGTGTAAAACTTCTATTTCACGCCTGCGAGTGACATATCGAGTTAAAGCTATGCAGGTGGACGAAATAAAATGCTGGGCAAATTCTCTCAATTTAATTACTGTGAATATAAATATGTACACATAACTCAGAACTTGCGTTGCAAGTTGCAAAAATTGCTTCATGTAACACGGCCTTCAGTTTACACCATCAAATCAGTTTACATCATCATTATTTCAAAATATGATTTGATCGAACTGTGACAAACTAGAATGTAAACCTTTCAAAAAGCACAACGATTTTAATTCAAACATTTCTCATCAATTTTTTTGATGCACCGTTGCCGCAGTAACGTATACTGTATGAGCCATGCAGTTTCAACACTTTCAATGTGTTTGGAATTTTGGTTACCTTTGCAGGTACAGATATCATTGTATTTCAAAGACCAGCTACACCGAAGACACCAAAAGGAACTCCAGCTGCCATATCAACACCCAGTGACGGAGATGGTGATAACCAGACAAATATCGAGACTACAGAGCATGCCAACGGCACGTTATCAAGTCCTGCGGGAAATATAAACCAGGCGCATCTACCAGCACCTGAGGATGGTGGGGAATCTGATAAATCGCAGTTGCCTGTTGCAGCAGGCGACGATTCAAGAGATTGTGAATGTCCTGACTCCCATCCTCATGTATCTCAAAGTAATGACCAGAAAGCTGAAAGTGAATCTGCAATCACAGATGAAAGTTCTACGGATGAGCTGGACTTTATCCCTCAGGAAGAACCCGAGCCTCGGGCTACACTTAGTAAACAAAGAGTTGTGACTTTCGAAGACATGAGCAAACAACACGCTTATCGTGGGCCTCTTATTACCTCAGATCAATTGATCGAGGCTGGCGAGGATCTTTCAAAAATTATATTCTGTCGTCATTTTACCTCGTCAGTTAAGCAAGGTGGAGCTGAGCAGGAACGAGGCTATGGTGAGGTGACTGTAACAGGGTTGACTGAAGGACTTAAACATGCTCAAGAGTTGTATAACCAACAAGATGGCTTACCGTTGGATCTTGTGTTCTTTGAAAAGGCTGTCCGTCATGCAGCAAGGCTTAGTCGTTCACTTGTGAGTATAACAATTATACAGGGTGTTAGGGGGAAAATGCTACTGACCGATTCGAAAACTCGCTCCCACAATGTTGCATTATTTTACTTTTTCATTCATTACCAAGGCAAAGTGAAAGAGATTAAGTTTGAAAACAAGAGATATATTTTGACACTATTGGTCTAGTAGAACCGATGTTATAGCTGTTGTAAAATAAGTCACCCAATGGACCATTGGACCATGATTTCATTTTAAGTATTGTAACTGGTTTATGTCACTACTCACTTTAATTAAACGCCATAACTTTGGTTCTGCTAGACCAATTTTAATAATGTTACTGTCAAAATTCATCGTTTAGATTCAATTTCGATGCTCACTAACAATTAGCAGTGTAAAAATCTAGAACACATGCAGCTATTATTGCGCCCTCTCGGAACACCCTGTATAGAGAAGGAGACCACAAACCTGGAACTGCGATTTTGAATCTCGCTTAAGACAATTTTTAATTGTTTCCAGCAAGCCAATCGAAACATTTTTTGTTGGAGGTAGTTTTCAGTGTTCCAAAAACAACTTTTAACTTAGTCAGGTTAATTGCTGTGTATTTAAAACTGTAATCCCATGCAGTAACCCTTGCATTATGTACGCCCCATATGATGGTGTTTCTATTTTATTTTGTTTTATTTTCGGTTATTTTATTAGTGCTTATCAAGCGGCAATGTGCTGTTATTGTCCAAGTCTGGTCATGGACGAAAGGATCTGGTATTACTGACTTCGTTTACAGCTGGCTGTAAGGTATCGTATGCTTTACTTGCCTGTATACTGTAGATATGTGATTTACTCATAGGTAATGGTTTGACTTGTTATCCGTTATTATGCAATCCTTGTTATTTGAAACGAGGTTACTTCGAATATATAATTAAATACGAAAATGATGGAAGTGGTGGGGCGCTACCGTCCTATATGAACAAATTTGGCGTTTATTCGTTCAAGGAAAACCAGGTTTAATATCAGACATGTTTTGTGATTGCTTGATTTTAACAATGAAACACAAAAAACTAAGAATAAATGTTCTAAATAAATGGTCAATGTTCTAAAGAATAAATCACTGCCCTGATCACTTTTGTCACCAAACATGTTCAATTTTGGTTGGTATTTAATAGTAATTTAATATTTAGTTTATAGATATTATATTATTTTTATGGAATGCAGTGTTCTTACCAAATTTTTGGCTCTGCTTCAGAACGGCTGGCGGGAATGGCGGGATATATTATTTCATACATTGCATTTATCTGAAGCCACGTGACCACAAATCAGCAATCACACTTAGCATTAACCACGTTCTATAACAGCAATTCTTGTGCTCTTATCTTACAGTTAATACAGTTAAGAAGAAACAAACACGAGGATTCAAGACAACGAATGAAAAGTGCAATTTATGTTGCTGGACTGCGAGGCAAACAAGTTGTCCTTTATGTGCCACAAAACATTGATCACAAGACCATGCAGGATGTCTGTTCGCTGATGAGTGAAGGTATAAACAGTATACCCAAGAAACGCTACTTGTGCAATTTACAGACAGACAGAGAAACAAGCAAACAGACAGACGTTACTAGGCTACTGACTCACTAAGATCACTGCAGTCAACTCAATGCGCATCATTTTGGCTGTAGAGCCTCGTTTTTGTCTATGTGATATTAGTTAAAGCCTAATCTCTCAATCATGAAAGCGAGACTCTATAGCCAAAGTGACGTACTTTCCGGAAGGGTGTATTACGAATTAGGCCTGTGACACTCCAGCCCATTTGAGCTGGACATTATCATTTATAGACCTGGGAGGGGAGGGTCTATAAATGATAGGGGGAGGGTCTATAAATAAGGGGAGAGTCTATAAATGATATACTATACCGAAAATTAAAAGCGTCCTCGTGAATACGATGTTTAATTTTTTATTAACGCAAATATTTGTTACTTTTATTTCGAATCACATATCGTTTGGAATATTGATGATAATATTTTTTTCAAAATTTTGCTTCATAATTAAAAAAATAGCTTTTTTTGAAGTTTGAAAACTTAATAATTCATCTCTCCTTAGTATATTTTGTCGGCCATCTTGTTTGCGTGATCGCCGCGCGTGGTTTATTATTTGATCAAATCACCCCGTGTGGTATGATTGAAATCATCCGCTACGTCAAATACGATGACGTAAGGCGTGATTCGATGATAAATTCCATGCTCACGTGGCACAAACTTAGGTTTCTGATTGGACACATTGAATTTGAGGTATAAAAATAATATAAGAAAGTAATTTATAAAATCGCTTCAATGTCTTTTTGAAGGCTATTGCCTGTATTCTAAAAGCTCACACACTCAAAGAGTGGAGGTTCAATCTGAGCTTCCCTTGATTATCAGTGCTGTTCTTGAATAGCTGGAGGGTTAGTCCCGTATCTTTCTATGTGACTAGTCACCCTCCAGCTATTCAAAAACAGCACTGACACACAAGGGAAACTCAGATTGAACCTCCACTCTTTAAGTGTGAGTATGAGTGAGCTTTTAGAATACAGGCATAAGTCTCTAGTGAAAGAAACTCAAAGGGTCACCTTCGAGATCGTGGATTCGATTCTCGCTATGGACTCTTCTCAAAATGTAAAAGGCGAAATTGAGGATCTAACAATCATCATGGGCTACTGCAGGGACACTGGAAAGTTGACAATATGGGTTAAAATAGATAGATTGCATGGTAATTCGGATTAATGCCATAAAAATATAAATAGTGTTCAAATGGCAAAATAGGTACTAGGCATAATATAGGGTAGGTTTAATGTAGAGAGGGATGCAACTGTCTGAAAAATACAAGGGAGGTTAGGCGACGAAGGGCCTTCGCTCAAAACGTCGAAGTTCTCCTTGTATTTTTCAGGTAGTAGTATACCTATCCATCCGCAGCTTTCTTATTATTGACACTACCTACATTGGCACAGACCGTGAGGTTGAATGTAATTGCTCACTGACAAGTCCCGACAAGGAGTGAGCTAAGTAGTGTCTGTTGTTTTATTTCATAGGTAATTGTCCTGAAATCTATTCGACTAACGAGCTTGCGGCAATCTGCAATGAGCTAATACCTGGTATTCTTCGTGGACGACGAAACAGTAATATGTACGTGGCACAAGAACGCTTCTTCCGGCGTGTTCGTGCAAACCTCCATGTTATTGTATGTTTGGACTATCCCTCTGATCAACCTGGTATTGTACATAAATTTCCATTCTCACAGTTCTTTGAATTCCCTTCATTACTAACAAGAACATGTTGTATCGATGTGTTCCAACCTTGGCACGATAGTTCACTCACTAAAGTCTCTATTCTGAGGCTGGCAAGTCAGCATGTTGACGCGGCTGTACAAGAGATTATCGAATATTTCAAGAATTCAGTGGCTGCTATCATGTCGTATGTTCATACGTCGTCTGTTAAGATGCTGGAACAACAGTTTGGTTTCAATCGATACAAGTGTTACACACCGAAAACGTTTGTTGAATTTGTTGATATTTTTGCAAAATGCTGTGATCTCATATGGGAAGAGGAACAGGTAATACAAGTAATTTATTTATTATATAAATATAGATATAAATATTTGACACTGAGAAACTGACAGTAAACAACACCCAAGGTCCACAAGCGAAGTATATGCCAAAACAGGTTTCTTACTGCTTATTTCTTCATTTTTTCTGGAATTCGAATCGAAGATGTTTATCTGAAGTAATTTCAGCCTTGACTGTTTTTCTGATGGTAATATAGTCGTTTTATTTGCGAAAAATTCCATAAAAGCTCTCACTTCAAGGACTTCGCTAAAACCGGGCGTCATGTAAACATGAATTCCGGCAAAAAATGAAGAAATAATTTAATTATGAGCGGGAAAACACCCACCAATGAAACGCTCAATTGTGGGAAGCACCAGCCGATCAAACGCTGAGTAATAACTCACCACGTGTGAAAAAATATCGTCCGCCATGCTGGTACGATTTTTATTTCACTCGTCTATACTTCACGGGAATCTCTGTTCATTCATTAACACAATATCATTTGCATGGCAAATGCTCGTAGACATAACCATTACTCCCATAATCTATTTTTATATGCAACTATCTGCTACGCATTAAAACCTTCCGAGTACACTTATGCCCTGCGTAATTCGTCGAAAAATTTTGGATTTTTAGGATAAGATTGCAACATGTGAACAAGCTTTAGCCAAGGTTAGAGAAGCCAACGAGCAGATCAATGAAATGCAGAAAGACTTGGATAGCTTTACTCCAATCCTTCGAACTGCGGAGCAAGAAGTTAAAGATTGTTTACAACTAGTAGAAGGCTTGCAAACAGAGTACAGCGAAGGAAGGGAGAAATGCAAACAGCAAGAAAGTGAAATTGAAAAGATGACGGCCCCAATCGCTGAGTTAGAAAGACTTGCTAAAATAGAGTTGGATAGGGTGAGTTGTTTGCCGAGTAATGTACAAACGCGGTAGTCTCTGCCTATCTTTGTTTTGAAATATGAGATTTATAGGTATAGGAAAAAAACATTAGAAAACTTCGTTAACTTTCCAGTCTAAACGACTTTGAACAATCATGACTCGTGTAGATATGCATGATTGTCTAAAACTGTTAAGGATGTTGCAACATGGTGCATTGATACAACTAAATGCGACTTTTTATACTGGTTGACCTGTAGTAGTAGTTCACTCTGCCAGACTGCAATGATCTAGCCATTGGAAACGACCAATGTAGGTATTGTAGGAAACCGTAGAATTAGCAAAAACCCTGCATTATTTTGTACTGCAGGAGTCCAACATGAAGCATACTATTCTTACAGAATATTAAATCTGACAAACACTGCAACTTTCCATTTCGGAATCGAACTCCAATCTTATGAAACGCTACCCCACCAACAACACCCTATAATATCCCACAATTATCTTATACTTTTCTGGGGCCAGTTGTACAACCTTCGGATAGCCGTATGCACCGGATTTTTCAGCCGTTGTAAAAATGCTTGAAAAGCTATCAACCTATACGAATATATGGACCTCACAATTAATAGAAGAAACTTTAATATTTTTATCTGGGTTATGCCAATAAACAGACAATTTTAGGAGGCTTAAAAAATCGCTGTCCGGTGGATAGTGCTATCCAATCTTCGTACAACCGTTCCCAGGGGAACCCCGAAGTGACTGAAATGTTGTTGCTATTTCAGGTGAGTCCTGTGTTTAGATCAGCATATGATGCACTGCGAGCTTTAAATGTTTATGACGTAGAAGAAATTCGTAGTTACAGAACACCACCTGACCAAGTTGTTCTTGTCGTTAACGCTGTATGTTTGCTATTTGGGAAAGACGAGACGTAAGTTGTTTGAGTAAATACTAAGCCATGAATTACAGATATTTTGTGGCTTCTGTCCAGTGCAACCCATTTACTGTAGTGTCCCCCACAAAAAGGCCTCTTCTCAAGCGGTCAACCTTCGCCTTGCCTAAGAAACAAAATGTTGTTCGTTTGTTATAGTAATTAAAAACCCCTAAATTTTTGGTATAAAGCAGGGTTAGCTAACGCCTTGCTTTTCAACGCAATTTTACAATGTTCAATATACTGATCATTGTAACTTCTTAACATCTTCAACTTATCTTCTAATTGTAACATTGTAACATCTTCTACTTATATCATGAAAGAACATCTTCTACTTATATCATGAAATGTTGGAAGAATGCTCGAGAAGCGTGTAAAACACTCGGCTACTCCTTGTGTTTTACACGCTGCTCTCGTATTCTCCCAACGTCCCCTCGTGCATTATTAGAGAGGTTTAGCAAAGACGACGTGAAAATGGCCTAATAATGGCGTAATATGCCCATCTATGGATGACTCACGCCATTTTCACGTCGTCTTTGACGTCGCGTCGTCTTTGCTAAACCTCTCTATTATCACACCATAAACGCACGCGATTCGTTTGTATTTCTAAATAATATACTGTATCAAGCCACCTTGCATGCAGACCACGTTGCCATCCCAAGACACTATAAAGTGTTAGTTAGTAGGCAGGGAAATTTTCATTCTCATTTCAATTTTTTGCAGTTGGGAAGAAGGCAAGGTGTTATTCAGTCGTGAAGATTTTATCAAAGATTTGGAATTCTTCAACATGAAAGCAATAACTGATAAGACATTCCACAGGTTAAAAGATTACGTGGAAAATCCAAAGTTTGTCCCAGAAGCTGTGAAAGAAGGCAGCCTTGCTGCTATGTCTATTTGTGTTTGGATTCGTGCTGTCTACCATTTCTGTGTTGTATATCGCGAGTATTTTCCCAAGCAACAGCGGGTTATTGAGGCGAAGAAAATCCTTGACGAGGTGGGTTTGAAATTTTACTTTGATATTTTTTCGATTCCAAAGAAACTTCCTAAACATCATTAAAAAAAAAACACTTGAACATTTCAAGTCGATGCCCTTAAAGGCATCAGCAGACTAGTGTCAAAATCAATGGCAATGACAAAGTATTTTTAAGGTAGTTAAAACCAAGGCAAAAACCACGGCCGCTAATTATACATCACCCATAATGGCACCAATTGAATGAGCTATGGGATATGGTGTGTTCTATACTCTCTCCATTCTGTAACAAGAACATACTGTGTTTATGAACAATTAGTTAATGAATAATTAACATAGTTAATGAACAATTACAAAAACATGCATGTGTTAAGTGTATATGTAGTATAGTAACGATCGTTTTGAGTGAAATTTTCAGAACAGGCACGAGAAAGTTTTTCAAACAGCAACCAAGTTATATTTCTATTATTATATTCTAGATGTCTTCACACCTTTATTTTTAGGCTGTGGTGTACCTTGGTGATTTGCGTGTGCGTTGTAATGAGATCAAAGCAGAAGTTGAAGCAAAAATTGAAGATTATAAAGAGAAAATTCATCATGCAAGATCAATTGAAAAACAAATCCAGGTAAAATTCTCACTTTTCTTTATATAAGTATCAAAATATTCAGGTTTGACTTCCACTACCGTTACCGCTACTATTAACCAATCAGATGTTTCTAATCTACTCGATTAACCAATCAGGTACGTCCTGAGCCTGTGAGAGGTAGCGATGGCAGCACTGGAAGTCAAATCTGAGCCTCTCTAATTTTACGGAAACACAAAGAAACTAGTTACCAAGTTGCTCGGTAGCCAGAGCATCGCAAAGAACCTCTCACCCAGAGTACTTTCCTTGGGAGAGTGTACCCTGGTTATATGTGAGTAATGAAGCGTGATAAAGGATATGTATATCGACAAGTTTGTTATGTATTACGTAAGAGTATTAATTACTTGGAAAAGTGTTAATTACCGTCTAGGAATGTAAGCGTAGTGTACTATATTATAAACAGATCCACCAACCTATCCAGCGCAATATGCAAATTTCAACTCATCATTATTAATTTCTTTAGAAATTGATTGTGTTGATAGTTTATAAACATGCCAATATTTGCATAGCGGGACTGAATCGTTGGGCTTCCTACGCCACTGATCCAGCGTACAACCATTTTGACATTGTCGTGACAACAAATAGCTAGGTTAATGGCTTGCATTAATTCAACTTCATTACCCTGTAGATAACAGAACAAAGAAAATCTCGCGCAGAGGCCTTAATCAACAGCATGTCGTCCCACATTAATTCTTGGCAAGAAAGGCGTCGTGTTTGTCAATATCACCTGAAAACTTTGATTGGTGATGCATTATTTACTGCAGCATTCATTTGCTATCTTGGACCATTGGAACAAGAAAGACGAGAGCAACTCCTTTATGAGTGGAAGACTGTTTGTCAAGAAAAAACTGAAGAGGATGATGATAGCGATGATGATACGACTTTTACAGTTAATGCTCAATCTTCTGTGCATACCAGGTGCACGTCTACTAGCGCATCATTTCCTGTTGGGAGTCATCATATTCCTTGGAGAAGTGACTTCAATTTGAAAGAAATATTAAGTAGTAAAGAGGAACTCTGTACCTGGAGAAATTCAGGCTTGTCTGTTAATTCCCGGGCAGTAGAAAATGCTCTGATCATGCGTACGGTGTGCGACAAGGCTTCTGGACACTGGCCGCTTTTGGTTGACACAGATCTGCAAAGTTATGCGTGGGTTAAATGTTTTTACGAAAATATAGCTAATGAAGGTAAGAACTCAGCGTTAGTAGTGTGGCCTTTTTGCAACCATCATATATGCCCAACTTACTGCCCCCATGGGGGTTTCCAGTGACCAGTTACATCAAGTATTGTGCTAAACTGTTTTTATTTCAACCCACCTTGCCAACTATCCCATATAAACGTTGGACAAAACACGAATGCAGTGCTGTAACTCAACTATTTTTACCACTTGCGATGAAAGCAAGGTAGACATGAAATAAACCTGAATAAAATTCACTGTCCATCATCAGGTCAAGTTTTGCCCTTACTTATTAACAAAATTTGAAGCAAATGATTGCATACAGTGTAAGGACTGATTAATCAACATTCTAGTTTTTCTTATGTTTTTCTTAACAAATTAGTCATTTGAAGACTTGATCATTATTGATAAAAAAAATCAAAAACAAAATGCATAACATAAACAAGCAAACAATTTGGTGTAGCAATATATTTCTGGTAAAACACCTAAAAATAACTTGCCCAATCTTGCAACCAAGAAGCAACTTCTACTTGCCCATAATGATTTTTACTTGTCGCGGCCAAGCGCAAAGTTACATCACTGGTTCAGTGGGCAAAAGTGAATTTTCATGTAGGACATTAGTAGCGCAGTGATCAAAACAACAGCTTCTAAACTATGGCTTTGGTAAGGTCAAGTGCGATAATATTGATATTACTTTATCATTTTGCATATAGGTGGAAGAAGTTCAACCGTTACAGAAGCAAATGAGACAGATGAGAATTGTGTTTTAGATGAAGAAGTGCAACTGTTATCTCCAGATTCTCCAAGTTTAACAACTCCTGGTCAGTCTACTCGTGACAGTGATGAAGAATTTTTCACCAACTGTGAAGGTACAGGTTTATATTAATATTTTATAAACATTTGCTTGTTTTATATGTCAAACCATTTAGTAAGAGACTTCATATAATAAGTTTCTTTTAAGTTTTCATCCTTCGTACCAAAAGCCTCGAACTTGATAACCAAAAGTTTAGTCACCCTTTAATTTAAACCGTCGTGTAAGCCACAACATTTATTAATTAAGGCATGTTAATCTAATAAAGTATTCATGCTTCGTCAGAGAAACTAACTGTGCACACAACGGGGACATGCCACGAACATCCCGGTGCGGATCTTGTATAATAGCTTTTGCTACATTCAGTGACGTTGCCAGGATTTCCAGAACATTTAAAAAGCAGGAAGACATATAATTGCCATTACAAGGAATGAAAATATAATGCACATGCTTGTACTGGTCAGAATTTTTCCAAGGGGGCCAAATATTTTTCCAGGTGGACCACCTCCCCCACCCCTCTGGCTACATCGCTGGCTATATTCAACCGAAAATACAATTGAAAATGAAAACTATGTCAGAAAATAACCGAAATTCATTAATAGCGTAATTCATCATTCTTGCATCAGAAGTGTTTAAGTTCGTTGTGCAAAACATGCGCGAGATCAAGATGCTGTATATACGATTTCGGGAGCGCGATATTACATATCATGTAATTCATAATCAAACAACCCGCATTGACTCCCTAATTGCACTCTAGTTCATTATTCATAGTCTTACAATTCTTACAGAAAGTGACTCAACAGTGCTAACATCAAATCAAAGCAGCAGACGTACCTCGACAGGAGCATGCTCTGGATTATTAATTCGAGAGGACTTAGCAAGAGATCTCAATATTGTGGTAAATTCTTATAATTACAATGTACAGGGACATTAGGAACGTATTGCATCATTACCATTGTGTAATTGTTGTTGTTTTTTTTCAAGACATCGCCTCTGGATGACACCTCCATAGACAGCACATCGACAGATTTTGAGTTTGATGACGACGAAGTAATGATAATATCTGCTACAGACAGACATAGAGGTAAATGTCATGATCTGCTGACAATTCGTATAATTTATGTTACGGTCTCGCAAGCACAATTAATTAAAGGTACCAGTTTGTGAGTAAAATTGGTCGAATACGTTAATAAATATATGCATGCATATAGATCGTCCATGAAGAAGCAAAGGTACATTCTTCTTTAGCTGCAATGTTTTTAATTGCACCATACAGTAATTCATGCATTTTTCTGTAGATGTAAAAATCTGTAAAGCTGTAAGCACAGGAGCTACTATGTTGTTGATAGACATCGAACGACAAAAACTTGGATCAAAATTTGATAACTTACTTGCAAGAAACACGTTCATAGAGAAAAATGGCAAACAAAAGATACAAATCGGCAGTCGTTGTGTGGATTATCATCCTGCATTTCGACTCTATCTGTACACCAATATTCCACTGGAGTTAACCACAGAGGAAACAATGTCTTCATTGTTTACAAAGTGCTTGGTTATCAATATGGCGTTAAGTTGTGAGCGATTACAGGAAGACCTTCTTGATGAGGTGTTGGCACTAGAACGTCCAGAGTACGAGGCTGAACGTCGTTCTTTGCAAGCAGATATTTATCATCACGAGCAACAGATCAAAATTGCTGAGGTAAGTAATAAACGGAAAACATGAATAGAGATAATTTCTCTGAGGTCGATTATGCAAAATATATTAAGCGAGAACTGTTTAAAATTTAACCGTAAGCAGTTCGTTTTGCGCTTGGATTGTACATTTGGCTAGTCTATTTTGACAACCTTAATTGAAATAATTGTGTAACCAAGCAAACGTGATTTTGATCAAATCAAGAACACAATGCCATTTCGCCATCAAGGTTGACTTTATAGTTTGATAAGTAGAGCAAATGATTGCAATCCCGTATAGAGGCGAGTTCGAATTACATCTAAGGAAAGTAGAGAGCCAAGTGTTTTACGATTTTAATAGTGTCAGAATAGTTATAAAAATATTACCGTTTACTCTAGTATTCTTACTGTATCTATTATCTGTGCTGATGTTTAGAATGCTGTATTTGAACGGGTGATAAACATGAATGAACGCCTTCTTGAGAACAGTGAAATGTCACAGGCTCTTAGGCATTGTGAGGAACTGTGTAGTGCAGCCAGGCAACAATTGGAAGAATCAATGGTAAGAAAATATCAACATTAAAAACAATCACCACGACGGCGACGAAAACAAAGCACGACGAAAATACCAACAACGACGACACAACCTTGACAATAATGGAAAGTAGGGCGGTATCAACAGCAACGAAAACAGCAAAAGAAACAAACGGTTTCCTGTACATAAGAATGGAGTATATGTTAATGCTTGCATATTTCCATTTTTTAAGGCTTTACAAGAAATTTCAAAAGAAAAGCAAGAGGATTACGCTCACGTTTCAGAACATGGTGCTGCTATAACGCTCATTGTCTCTAGATTGTCCGAATTACACTGTTACTATCAAACACCACTTCGTGTCTCTTTGAAGTTCATTCGCGAGGTAGTAAATCAAAGACGCAGAGGGAAGCGTTCTTCTGGTTCATCTTTGGCTCGTTCTGCTGAGTTGATAACTTATATTACAAAAGCAATGTGTTCGAAAATAGCCAAATCTGTTTATTCAGGTAATATATGTTGTCTTTTTGTTAAGAAGGGTGAAATGTAGATATCGTACTTTGTAAATTGTAGTTCTTTCGAATATATTTCCCGTTAAATGTTCTTTAAATGATTCTGTTACAGATCATTACGTTGTCTTTACATTTCTGGTCGCTGTAGAAAAGCTACAGCTTGCTGGTCAAATATCTGAAGAGGAATGGAATCTGTTTTGTGAAGTGAAAACTCTTTCGTCCACTGATGATCACAGTTCAGATGCATCTGTGGATGACATTATTCCTGAGTGGATAGATTCAGAAATATGGAAAGAGGTCACTAATCTTGATACACTACCCGGATTTCAGGGTTTGAAAGAAGCAATCTTAAGTAACAGTGCGCTGTGGAAAGAATATTTTGAGGTGAGTCTATTAAACGGTTCAATGATTTGTTTCTCCCAACTTCTTTGTTAAGACAGTCTAGAATAGTTGGAATTCAAATTAAATTTCATTAGTAAACCGGCAAGACGGCATTACGTTAGAACAGCCTTACTGGCGTATTACCAACTCAAGGTGTATGAGTTCATTTATGTTTTATATACAACCCGTGAATCAGTGGATGGAAACTATCCGTAGGTTTTTTGCTTTTTTATGATTATTGCTCATGTTGTTTTCTTTGAACGCTCTAGCTTCCACCCATACTAATGGCTCCCACGCCGAGCAACATCCGTCAGCTATCTGTGTTTCAACGAGCTTTGCTTTGGAAAACATTTAAGAAGGAAAAAGTAAGAAGCCTGACCTATTTTTCATTCAATAACTGAAATTAAGGATAAGCGAAGTAGCTTTGTATTATCATATTTTTGTTCCATAGCTACTACAACCTCGGTCACCAATTATAGGCTAAATGGCAGAAACGGCAATCTTTACAGGAAATACAAATACATGAAAGTATATAAGCATTACTTCGACGTTTTGAGCCAAACCCCTTGCTAACCAACCTGTTGCCAGGCACTTTAATAGTGGCACTCACATGCAGTGTTTTAGATTTGAACCCTTTGTGCTATTCCTGGTAGTAATGATGGCCGCAAAAGACATCAAAATAATGTACAGTACCTCATTTCCAAACTTGGCACTGTCCACCCCAATGTTATTAATGAATGTTTTCCCTATGTTTTGCTCAATCTCAATGGCGGATTTTCATTTTTGTAAAAGGAGGGGTGGAAAAATTTCTATTGGGGTGCAAGCGGCACCCAGTGGAGCGAGCTTCGGCAGGGGTTAGGCGTTAGGATTATAAAAGACTTTCACACAAAATAGGAGAGTGAAGCGAAATTTTGGTGGGGTTGAAGCCCATGCTCAATCTGTCTTTGCCTGTCATCAGCGCTGCTAGAAGGCATTAACAGTAATTCGTATCGTCGCATTTTCCCCTATTTGTTGTATTTTGTCAGTTTATCACATAGCTTCCGTATTACTGAAGTATATTCTGTAATGTGGTTTTCGTTTTTGTTTACACTTTGTTTGACTAAATCCATCCGATTGCTTTATTTTTGTCACGTAATCGCTATTTTCACTAGTATAAACGCACATACGTTTTTTCCAGGTCGACCCAACGCTACTAGCTTACTGACAAAGGGTCTTCGCTCGAAACGTCCAAGTTCTGCTTATATTTTCCAGGAATATTGTCTATTTCCTATAAAGACCGTTCGAGTATTATATAGCAGAATACTGTTCCAGGATATTTCTGATACCATACATGCAGTCATGCATTACTTAGCACTTTTACAAAGAGCAAAGTTAATTAGTTATTTTTTTTACACAAAACCAGTTTTCAGTCAATTTCTGCAAGCTTTCGATAGAATCTTTTCTAGTGAAATCGTATTTTCCCGTAATCCAAAGGTATTTCGTTCAATTTGTTATTCCTCCACTTTCCAAAGCATATGTTTCTCTGAAAAGTTTACATGGAAATCATTCGCTATCAATGTTTTCGTTGTTGGTGATGTTGTTCATAACTAAGTTTTTTTTCCACGTTACAGTTGCATATGATTTGTGAAGATCTTGTTCTGTATCAACTTGGGACAAATGCCACAACTATACCGTCGTTTTCAATAGACAATGTTTATCACGATTCCTCTTGTATCACACCTATCGTTTTCTTTCTACCACAATCCTTGTACAAACAGAATTGGAGGAAACACAATTTGAAAGGTTTGTTGTGAACAACAGCGGTGTCGGAATTGCAATGATTACGAGATTTTTCACGGAGAGTTGCCCAGTGGGGTCGATTACCTTTTACTTTATCATATATATAATATATATCGTATTTTATTGCCACTTCGTATTGTGTTCCCCATTTAGCCTATCTTCAGGCGTCCAACTAAATATTGGTTGAAATATGTGCGCAAGCAAAATATTGTACTATTAATTTTGATGTATTATGTTATTTTTGTTGCTTAGTTTTTCACTAGGCTGCCTTCGTAGTTTCTTTATATAGAAGCGATATGTCTGTCTTTCTCTCCATACGACACGCGTCAAATTTTCACAGTTTGTTAACAAGATGTATTCGCACTGCTTGTTCCCAGTTGTTGGCAAGTCTGAAACAAGTTGTTATCATCTTGTAACAACGTTAATGAGGCCAGCAGAGTGAGCAGACTCGAAACAAGTTGTTCCAACAAGTCTTCACCTAACAAGGCGTTAACAAGTTGATGTTGTTACGAACAAGTTCTAGCAAGTTTGCTACCGTCATCAACCTTGTACCACGATGAGGAAAACTTGCTCCAGACTTGTCACAACAATTGCGAAACAAGCATGCAGTGCGAACACATCCAGATGTCGCTTGACAACAACCTTGTTACAACTTGATTGCAGATCTGTACCAATTTGCACGTTTTTCCGTGTGCAACTCTGGGCCCTTTGTTGGAAATGTTCTGCTCGTAATGTTTCAACTGGTGAAAACCAAGATTTGAGGAATGCTTACAACATAGCTAGTCTACAAACTCGTCAGTCAACCAGATGGAAAAAAAACTGTGCATAAACCCACCAAGTACCAGCTGGTACGTCAGGCCTTCACAGCGTGTACGTGTGTTGATATATTTCCTATATGTATATTTAGATCCCATTGATGAGGTCGTAGCTCTTGCAAGGCGTCTCAGACAAGATGATAACTTGCGTATTATCAGTCTCGTTGAAGAGCATCAGGCTTCTGCAGCATCAGCAATTCTCCGCACTGCTTGTCAACGTGGCTCCTGGGTTGTCATTAAGAACTGCCATCTTACAACGCAGTGGCCTGCAGACGTACTCGATATTTTTCATGTAAGTAGCAACAGGGACTTTACCGTCACTACAAGTATGAAACATGGGTGCAAAATTCTTAATTACTATCTGGGACCGCAGGGGAATTTGAATTTTTTTCTGTGAGGAATCGTCAGTTCATAACTGTATTCCAGTAGAGTAAGCAACATATTTTGTAAAAGCAAAATTGGGTCCAAGTTTACTGTTTTAAGATAGCTTGCATTCCAGTGGCAAACGGAATGGTTAAGGTTAATGTTTGATCAACGTATTAATTAGGTTCAGTGGTTTCACTGTTGAGCCACCTGATCAAGGGGCCGCAGCTGCTGACTGCAGTCTATTCGATTTGATGTTGTTATTTTTCTATTAGAGCGCTTAACTGATTCACAAAGCTGACTGGAAGCATAGCTGGAAGTAACTCGAGCCGTTATAGATGGCCACAATCTGCATCAACTGCTTTTCTTGATTTCAAGAAACTGATTTTCTGCTAACGCCACTATTCCTGTTCATCAGTTTATGGCGAAATTTGAAATGTGTACTAACCAGTATACTATTTTCTGTGATCAATAATAATTCATGAAGAAAACACAAAATAAATCATGACCGTGAAGGAGTTTGTATATCTGATGCAAATTCATTTACATAAACTTTAAGTTCAATTTTCTCATTAAATGTCATTCATTTATTTTAAACTGTTGAAGAATACGAATGTTCTCATCAAGACGTTTCTCGCCTTCGGCTCGATTTTGCATATCCGTTACAACACGGCCCCTCATTTTGTAAACAGTTCATGCGATTATAGCCTACTAATCTGAATTCGTCTGAACACTATAAAGCCTTTCCCCATTAACGTAATTGTTCTTTCGTTTCAGCAAATAACCTTAAATGGCAGCAAAGAGCACATCACCAGCAAACATGGTTTATTCGAACCAGATACCACTCCTTACACTGTGACGTCGTGCGTTTATGAGGAGTCACTTGTCATGAATCCACAATTCCGTCTTTGGTTCGTCACAGTCCCTGAGATTGGGACTCCACTTCCTGCGGTTATTGTACGTTGTGGTATCAAATTTGCTTGGGATGATAAACTAAAGTATGAGGCTAATGTTCGTCAATCATTTCTCACTTTGTGGAACAAACATGCGCATTCAGACAAGAGCTTTAAACAGCTTCAATCAAATGATGTTCGGGTAAGCTATTTAAACTGCCTGGCCCCCTGTTGAAAAAACCAAGAGTGCCATCTTATATAAAAGATTAAATGGCCATTATAATTCATGAAGAAAATTCAGAAGAAATTAATGTTTAATCAATATAATTATGATAAAGATTTCGTCCTGATTTACATAAACTTTACCTTAAAATTTTTCAACTAAAGCGCTGCAAATTGCCGAAATAGTTAATAAACATGATTACTTGGATGTATTTCTATTTTAATATAAAGTATTTGCATTTGTGAATATGATACACATCGGTTGCTCAAACTTTATAAATTATATTACATAAAACATTTTAGCGTAACATAATTTATTATATTCACGTTTTCAACAAGTCAATAACTGTCCCAAAAATCCCGATCGATCTGTGTCATTAATTTGCTAGATTTGAAGGAACTTAGGGAACAACATTAGGTCAGTTAGGCAAAAAAGGTTTTCCATGTTATTGCACAAGTTTATACAAGAAAAGAAGAAGATTGGTAGAACTCAAGGGTAGTTTAATGTTTTCGTCAGCTCATTTATTTTGACAATCTCCTCTCAACCTTCTTCCAAGTTTGTGTAGTACGTTTTTAAATTGATCGAAAACGTCTTTTATTTCTTCTAGCCATTAAACTTTCCATAGATGTGCTTTTTTCCCTCGTGATTACTAATACCCAAAACAATATCTGCAAACAAAATCTATTATTATAGCTTATTCCCTTGTTCATGATTAGCGAATCATGTGTAATTTTATAATTTATTTCAATATTGTTCTTTTCAGGCTGAACCACTTTCAAAGTATTTGGCACCTTTGGCGATATTTCACTCAATTTTACACGAACGATGTAAATATGGGTCACGTGGGTTTAATGTGCCATACCATTGGTGAGTTTAAACTTTTAGAGCGTTGGTGCAGTAGTTGACTAATGCGTATATAGCTCTCGTTTCTGCAACAATGTATGATTCCTGGGATACGCAGTTACTGTATCAGAAATGTTCATCCTATAGGTGGGTTTCACCACGTTTAATAGAACTTCACTGAAGTCTTATTCATGGGGAAACGCTTGGTGGTCAACTTTACACATATTGCCGCTTTATGCCTTGTGTAAGCAAGTAAATTTCGTTAAATTGTATATATTATACCAAACACAAGATCAATAATTATAATGAATATTTCACTCGTTTCCATTTGGAGTTGACCACCAAGCGCTAAACGTATCACGTGACTGAAACCCAAATATAGGCTACAGGCGCATGAGGAAAGTATTTTTATAGTTTGACTCAGAATATCTTTTAATGTCGTTGTCTTGAACCCAGGGTAATGAATACTAGAAACTAGGCTACAATACGTGGCCAATTGTTGTCGAACGACATGCAGGTGCAATTTCAGAGGTCTTATTTTCTAATTTAAAAATCCGCCCTCTCCTCCTCCCCCCCCCCCCCCTTGTATTGTTTACTATTTTATTTGATCTGGACATGACACAATGATGACTTATTCACAGCCACGTCAACATTGAAACGGGGGGGGGGGCTGCCTGACCACGATTGTAGGTTAACATTCATTAGTACTAGTTTGAGAACTGGAAAGGAAGATGCAGTCACGCGTTGCACCTTGCTACTGAATTAAGCCCGCACTGGAGGCAGGGATGGATTTAATAGAAGGTGTACCCCCATTTTAAGGATCGCATCCCTCCCAGCCTTGCCAAAGGGGGGAGGGGTGTAAGTGAAGTGCCAATTTCCTTATCAAATCCAGTTTCTGATTTGGAACGGCAATATCCTCCCATCCTTACCACCAGCTAGACCTCTGGAGCCTGCCAGGGCCAGTGTTTCACTGGTTCCCCCTATTCCCAATTCCCAAAATAAAAAGCACCACCCATCTCGACAAACACCACCTTTGAAGGTGAAGAGTGGAGTGTTTACTCACGTTGGTTCTCTCCTGTTGTCTAAGGGTTCTCTGATTCCTCCAGTTTTCCCCATCACAAAAACAAACCCTGAGGTGTCGAACACTTGTATTGCGTGCAAAGCTGAATTCGCAACAGCAACTCTGTGTAGCTCACATGATTGTTATTATTCAATTAAGTTACAGAATATATATCGTACATTGATTTCGAGACATGTTTTGTGCATAATACTCTTAATTGTGCATAGTACTGTAGATACTTTACATAGTGTATAGTAGTTATTCAGTATTCTGAACTTTATATCTTTTTCATTACAGGAGTGACCGCGATCTTCTGTGGGGATATCAAGCGGCATGTTTGTTACATTCCAGCGTGTTCTGTGCGTGTACGAAAACAACATGTCCGTCGTCAGCTTTGATGCAAAACATCAGTGTGTTATATGGCGGTCAGGTTCTCAATATGTTTGACTGGGAGACCATTGTGGCTTTGGCTGAAACGCATTTTGCACTACCAAAGAGTGAAGTACGTTGAACAGTAGAATACACATTTAAAACACGGTCCGATGGGTCCAAACCTGTTGAAGTCGAAGGCTTTTCCAAAGCCCCGTTAATCGAGTCCAACATCACTGTTGGTTCAACAAAGTTAGAAAATGTTCGATGAAAATTTAAACATAGTCAAAACCGATCCAACACCATCCAACATTGCCCATGGGACACAGTGTTCAAACGAGGCCAACAATGTGGCTTCCACTAGTTGCATCCAACAATGTTAGATTAACTTTTTGATTTAGTTTGAGTGGGGTTTAACCTTGTGACTCACGTCTGATCACGGAGCACAGCTTCGGTGGAAGGGTCAGTTACAGGCTACTCCCAAACTACCTTGTCAAAATTCCCTGTGGGAGGAAACCAAAGTATCCTGAGAGAACCCACGACTTTCTGCAGAGCATTGACATGCATGAATTGACACTCCTTTCAAATGAATGTCTTTAGTCCAGAACGAAAATCGAACCTACGATCTCAGAGGTGAAAGGCGCTTCCTCAGACGATTGCGCCACCGAAGCCCCATCACACTTACAGCGATCATTTATTGCGTTTCAGGTGATGAAGCCCAACCAGGTTGATATTTTATTGAGTTCATCGCCAATTTCTGTTAATATGAACGACCTTGGTCTCAATGAATGTGTAAAATCGGAGCGTGGTGTTCATGCTAGCAAGTAAGAACTTCTTACCTTTTTATGCATGATTTAAAATCGCCTGACAATTAGCAGCAATAATACTCGGTTACGTCCTTCTAACAAAATGATTGTGCTGCACTTCTTTTCTTTATATTTTGCAAATATGATTTTCCAATGACTTATGCTAGATTATTTTCCTCTCGCAAACGGCCGATGAGTTTATTGTTGCATGCCATATATGGCATGCAACTTTCATATAGCTCTAAATTTCGTGTCGCGGTGCATGAGCGGCGGTGAGCGCACAGGCGGCCCAATCTCAGAATGAATGATCAGGTGTTGCGGGTTTTTAACGGTTTTTATAAACAAATTTATAGTCAACCAAAACTATTTAAAAAACATTCTTAAATTAGTCAAATAAATACATTTTAACAATAAAATATAGTTGACATGATAGTATAATACCTTTGCATTCTTTTAATTACTCCATGAGCTCATTTAGAGCGGTTGATGTAATATTTTCTGTGGCCTACATTGTGTGTGTTTATCTATATATAATATAACAGTTAAAGGCTAATCACTGGCGGCACAACCGCATCGCCTTCAAAGTCAAATATCTCCGCTCAAACTTCTCTTACGCCAAAACAAATTCGATTACATCTTTTCACAAAGATTTCTCTTTCTAAATAATATGGTTTGATCGTAGCTTGGGCAAATTTAGCGACGAACGGAACCAAAATCTCTTCAATTTCGGATACTGTTCAAAATACTTAGCCTTAGGGCTTAGTTTGTCGCTTTATGCTGTCCCACCCCACGTAAGGCGGTAAGGCGTTATTGTCAGTATGTATTGATTACGTCACGTCCACGATCGTGCCCGAGCAGCCCTAAGTATTTTGAACAGTATCCGAAATTGAGGAGATTTTGGTTTCGTTTGTCGCTAAATTTGCCCAAGCTACGATCAAACCATATTATTTCGAAAGAGAAATCTTTGTGAAAAGATGTAATCGAATTTGTTTTGGCGTACGAGAAGTTTGAGCGGAGATATTTGACTTTGAAGGCGATGCGGTCGTGCAGCCAGTGATTAGCCTTTTACTGTTATATCATATATAGATGAGCACACACAATGTAGGCCACAGAAAATGTTACATCAACCGCTCTAAATGAGCTCATGGATTAATTAAAAGAATGCAAAGGTATTATACTATCATGTCAACTATATTTTATTGTTAAAATGCATTTATTTGACCAATTTGAGAATGTTTTTAGAATAGTTTTGGTTGACTATTTAAAATTTGTTTATAAAAACCGTTAAAAACCCGCAACACCTGATCATTCATTCTGAGATTGGGCCGCTTGTGGTGAGCGGTGATGAGCGTACCAGTCACGTGGCAGATTCGTTAAAAGACGACTAATACCGAGTTTTTCCGACGAGCATTTTTGTGCTGGGTTTTCGTCGAGGAAACGCAAAGAAATATTGATTATTTGCCGAAAATTCACATAATTGAGCGCCTTAGAAAAATAAATCGAGGTAGGTAAAGCTTTACTATTTTTAACTTACCTTATATTCTGTTATTTGTTGTGATTTTGGAGCCGTTGTGCTCGCACTGATTATTTATCAATTATCAGGCGTTTATATTTATATATCGTGAAAGCCTCAAAGCCCACGCTATCAAAACACTCGATTTTTATATACTCAAACTGAAACGGAGCCATTGTGCTCGCACTGATTATATTCTGTGCGAAGCTTCAAAACTACAGCACATTTTGTGTAATTTTAAATATAAATATCAAGCAAAATTTGAATTATAAATAGTATTGAAATTTAAAACAACGAAATAGCAACCATTGTGAAGTACGCATAAGGTTCAACATGACATTCAGCATGACATTCGATATAGTGTAAATGAACTCATTTCAATCACTCAAACAAAAACATACAGGTCATATTAGCTGACTAGTACCTTTATGCTTTTTCTACTTCGACAATTTCAATCATAGTTTAATTAATAACCATTTTCAATCTATTATAGTAATTCACCGTTTCCACTGTTTTTTATACCTTTAAAAAGTTACAATAAAGCTAAATCTATAGGAAATAACGTTATTTAGTTATAAATTTGTTAAGGAAATCTAGCAGTCAATCGCTTTCGATAAAACCTTGACCGACCTTGACCTTGTTATTACCGTCGCTTGCAACTAACGATGAACGGTCGCTCATAAAAACATCTCCTATCGTGTGAGAATCTTAAAGGTGATCTACAGTCCGTATGTAAACAAAGCCTTTGTTTAGGGGCCATTCACAAAGGATGTCCGGCCAAATGATGGATTTTCAGACCCCCCCCTCCCCCCCTTGTCCGGCATTGTCCGAATTAGTGACCCCCCCTCCCCCGGACATCCGCCATGCCTCGCAAAAACTCACGCAATCTTGTATATATCAAGAGTAAAAAACTTTTACTTTTAGAACTTTTTTATAACTGTAAATGTGAACACAAAAACATATAAATTACTAATTAAAACAAAATCTAGTGTTAACCGCATAGTCAAAATGCCAATTTCACAATGGGAAGGACTGCTGAAAATAGAGGGAAAAAAGAAATTTGTTTTTGAATTTTTTTAAATTTCGGACATCCGGATTGCTAAAACCCCCTCCCCCCCTGTCCGAGTTTGTCCTGATTTTCCAAACCCCCCTCCCCCCCCCCCCTCGGCTCGGACATCCTTTGTGAATGGCCCCTTACATTTTTGTGTCCAAAATATTGAGCTTTATTCGACAACTATTTATATTTTCAAGCTTCTAGAGTATAATAAATGATCAAGAAACAACAGTCAGGCTTTTCAAGAACTCAAAACATAGTTAAACTGTTTCTATCATAAAAAGTGGGCTCATTTGTGCACATGCGCAGATCGGACTGTAGATCTCCTTTAAGTTTCTTATTTTGACATAAAAGCTATTTTTCAATAAATAACATAACATAACAGCTATTTTTCAATGTTATTACAGTCAATTTCAGCTGACTTTTCATCGTAAGATTCCGAACTTCGTTCCGAACTTCGCAAATTCGTTGCGAAGTTCAAAAATTCATAATGAAATTCACAAACAGGTTTGTAAACAAAGCCTCTGATTGGCTATTAAATCAAACCAGCCAATGAAATGCCCAGTTTACAAACCTGTTTGTGAATTTCATTATGAACTTTTGAACTTGGCAACGAATTTGCGAAGTTCGGAACGAAGTTCGGAATCTTACGATGAAAAGTCAGCTGAAATTGACTGTAAACTTGTTGATTCAATATTTTAAAGGTGATCTACAGTCCGATCTGCGCATGTGCACAAATGAGCCCACTTTTTACGATACAAACAGTTTAACTATGTTTTGAGTTCTTGAAAAGCCTGATTGTTGTTTCTTGATCATTTATTATGCTCTAGAAGCTTGAAAATATAAATAGTTGTCGAATAAAGCTCAATATTTTGGACACAAAAATGTAAACAAAGGCTTTGTTTACATACGGACTGTAGATCACCTTTAAGATTCACGCCAGTTGTACCAAAGGTTATAAGCGCTATATCTCATCATAAGTTTCAGAAGGCATGCAACATGTACGCACTGCGTACCTATTTTTAATCATTAATACAGCAGTGGCACTTGGTTTAAGGAAATATCCACACTCGGACAATTAGTGGTGGGAGAAAAACAACAAAATATAATAACTCCGCATATACCCATATAATAAAGGGTGGGTTGGAGGGAATTTTAAATTTTCGCTTTTTTCTAGATCTGATCCCTAGACTTTGCGTGTCAAACACCCAACGACCATATGTTGCACGAGCAATGCATGTAACGCACACCTCAACAGCGGCACCCAATTCCAGATCACGCGTGGTTCACTAGCTATTAACTTTGGTTGATATATAACCTCATATAAACGTTCTCGTTTAGAAAGGAACACTTTTTTGGAAAAGAACACTTTCTCTCTTTTGTTATTAAAGACCTTTTCATTATAGAGTTATTTTGTCATTAAAGACCCTTAATGACAAAATACGCAAAGGCACGGCAGTAGATGTCCTTCCCACGTTCTTTTATCACTGGACTTGGAATACTGAAACTACTTCTCTTCTTTTAGGCAACTTACGGCAAACTTTTCGGTTGCATTTGGAAGCACATTGAATTCAACATTTTGCTTCAAGCCTGTTCCTTATTTTAAAGAACTGTTGTCTGTTTTTAATGACATCAAATCTGGTGTACGTGCCGAACAAGACATATCTACAACAAACCAAACGGATGAATCTTCTTTCCAGATGTTTCTGAAGAAAGAAATGCAAAACTATGTAATATTACTTGATTCGATCATATCACAACTAGAAGAAGTTGTGTTAGGACTTGAAGGTAGCATTAGTTTTACATCAAGCATGCACGAAGTGGCGAAAGCTGTATCTAAAGATCTAGTACCAAATTCGTGGTCTCGGTATACAAGCGTCTCTCCAATCTTGGCAAAATGGGTATGTTCTCTGAAGCAGAAAATTGGTGCAATCGGTCAGTACAGACGGTGTGAAGTTAATAAACCGTTGACACTTGATATCGGTGCGTTTCTGAATAAAAATTCGTTGTTCCATGCCTTAATGTCAGACTGGTCAAGAACAAGTGGAATACTTCTACATAAGATAGAAATCACGTCGGAGGTTTGTTTTATCTTTAATTTTATCTTTAACCACTAAATTATGTCTGAGGTTGCTTAATTAAGGGAAATAGGTTAATAATCTCTTCGGGAAGTTGGGTAATAATGTGTTAATTGGTTAATTATCACTTATTTACTGAGACCGAGGGAAACAGTGTGTTTTGTGGACCCGAGACCGTCGATGTTTCCCGAGGCAAAGCCGAGGGAAACATCGACGGTCGAGGGTCCACAAAACACACTGCTTTCCCGAGGTCTCAGTAAATAAGTGTTTTATTATATATCAATAGTCAAAGAAACAACAAATTAAAGAACAAATGAACGTAAATACATGAAATATTTTATTGTTAAAACGTTATATTAAACACTGACTACACTGCAGTTACTTAAAGTGAAAGTTTTAATTACGTGTCAAAATGTCCAAAGGTCGTGCCATGTCCAAAGGTCGCATCTTCACGTGATGGCGCACGTGATTTTTTTGTTATTCGCCGGTCGATAACGTATTATCTCCCTCTCGCGCTGTTGCGAGGGAGACAGCCTAATTTCGTCACTCTCGCGTGATATGCTCTCAACGAATAAAACACTAGAAAAATGCGACTTTGACTATTGATATATAATAATTGTTAATATTTATTTATTTACAACATTTGCCAGCATGTTTTCACGCAGTGTGAAAAATCAGTTATATATTTCTTTCGGAGAGAATCGTATTCAAAGTTCTTGAGTTTTTAAACCAGCCATAAAAGAAACCAGTTGTGATGTAATCAGAGTGGTTCATATTTGACGTCCATTACCACTAGCACTACCTTTCACAGGCTGAATCTGATCGCTGAATAGACAATTCCAGCTTTTAGTTTATGCGTGCAGGGGATGATGGGAAGTAAGGTATCACATTGCTGATTATGCTGAAAAAATAAAAATGGTGGCCGTGTAAACACGGAGTGATAGCTTATACTTGTAAATATTGAAATATTTCGGTTGTTTCGGTAGTTTTATATTAAGATTTTTCAGCATAATCAGCACTATGATATCTTACTTCCCATCATTCCCTGCAGGCATAAACTAAAAGCTGGAATTGCCTATTGTAACGATGACCGTAGTCACATATTAAGTAGGTACCAGATGTGTAACTTCAGTAAAAAAGTTGTCCCACGTTCGCCATCTTCCTAGCAAGTGTCGTTTGGGTGATAATTCGTCATTTGGTAAGACATCTTGCTTTTCAAAAATGCTTTCAACAACTTTAATTGCTTTCAACAACTTTAAACATTCAACCACAAATCCAATAGAGTGCAAAAGTTCTTGTTTTTCAGGACGCCATTTTGCTAGCGATTGTCGTGGGGTGTACATCTAGGAAAATTTGAGGGCACGAAGTCTTATTAAGTTACTCATCTGGTCATACTTAATCTGTGCCGTAGTAGAGGTCAAAATATCAACCTCTCTGTTGTCTAAAAGATGTATTAGGAAGTAGCCGATTATTACCATTTGCATTAAAGCGTTACCCCACGCCGCGATAAATTCTTCTGGCACTTTTGCGGTTTAGTATGTTTTTTCAATGTATGATTAAAATGTACATACTGTTCAAAAATATATTTAATTGGTCAAACGATGGCAAAAACAATTTATCCTTGTAACATTATTTTTTCGTTTCTTATTGGCTTGACTCAACACAAAAGAGAAAATGACTGTTGCAAAACGTAAAGTTACGCCCCAAGTCATCACTATTTTGATATGCGAAACTTGTACAATCACGTTGATAGCAAAACTCAGTGACAACTTTTTATCGCGGCGTGAGGTAACGCTTGAATGCAAACGGTATTATCAGCCTTTAGAGAAGGGTAGCTAACACCATGATATTTTTCTGGTTTGTTCCAACAGTTGACACAAGATCATTCCACAATGAGCACACCTGTAACGGATGGCGTGCAAATGAGAGGATTTGTCCTTTACAATGCATCATGGAACGAAACCAAAGGCAGTCTCGAGGAAGTCAAAACCTCTGGAAACCAAAGAATACCAAGCCTCTTATTAAGACCATGTGAAAGAGGTGAAACTTTCTCTGCTAAAACGACCAGCAAGAACCAACCATGCAAATTTGATTGCCCAGTGTACTTCTACGATAATCTACCTGGTAAATTTGAGCCAATCATTCCTCTATCATACGTCACGCTCTCGTCCAGTTTGCCTACTCATGTTTCCCGACAACGTCAAGTCTTTTTAACTGTTTCGAATATTTGAAACGTTCCTTGTTCTATTCTAAGTTGTATTTTTTTTAAATAGATTGTACAAACCAAAATATTAATATATTGTTGTGTACATAGATGTATTTATTATTTGATGATACGAAGTTTGTAAAGGTATGATTTTTGTTGTAATTTTTAGCAAAAAACTTTAATACATATGTTTTGGTAGTTCTATTGCGATTTGTGCCGGCTTTATTAGGCCAATGAAAATTGATATCATGTTTCTCGTCCCCGCCCGCATGGGATTTATCTGCCGCACGAAAATTTTTCATTATTCATTATTTTTGAAAAATAGGCTTAATTTAACAAAACACCAAATTGATCTCCAGATCACCAAGGTATTGGGGAGAGCATCAGCAACAACAAGTTCAAATGAATTACAGCAAACTTCAACTCTACATTTTTTTAATCTATTGGGAATGGTAGATTGGATGTTGGAAATACCAGAAACATTTTTGTTTTCCGGAATGACGAAAAAAAAAGGAAAATGGTAGCGGGTTCAACTATCTTGACCGGGCTGTCGTACGCCTCCTATTCACAAGTGCTATCCCACCACTATTTGACGCGGGAACTTTTGTCTGCTATGTTTCCATCCTGGACCGGTACGTTCCTCTTTATTCAACCTGGTGGACGATGGTTCCCCTCAGTTCACCATATTGACGCCCAACTTAGTGTGGACACCCGATCGACATAGGTCGACGTACGACAGGAGTCCCGATCTCAAGTCATTCGACACTACCTGCTCCGTAGTAGCTCAGTTACAGGCGCACGCCACCACGCCCAGTGATCGTGTGACTAAGATTTATTGTATTTAATTAAATGCAGATTAGCAATGGACTTATCTATGAACTACACTGAATTTGTAAACAGGTTTGACTGGATCAAATAAACGCTTTGAGCAGGCCGTACAAAAGCTGGATAGAGCATTATCAACTGGGTAGTGAACTTTTCAAACGTTGTAATAAAGTTTGAAAAACTATAATACTGTTTACATGTAGACCAGCAGTGGCATGTTGTAAAAATATGTACTGGACAAACTGGACTTGTCTGTGAACATATGGATAAACAGATGCTATTAAAGCATCATGGAAAACAACGATTGGATTGAACAAACTGGACTGGACGTAAAATTTTGATTGCAATAAACTAAGCTCGACCTGTAAACATCGACTAAACTGAACTCAACTGGACTTGTAAACAGACTAGATTGGGCGAAATTGGAGTTTCAGAACACAGTCTGGACCGGACGTCTAAGGGGGCGTTCTGTAAACGACAACATTTTCTTCGCAAGAGTCAAGAGTACGAACCATTGCTGAGAACAAGGGAGTTAATGACTGATGTACGCTTTTTAAAATGTTGATTATAGACTGATCATCCTTCTTGAGATTCAGCATTAAACAGCACGCTTCAAGGGTGTGGGGAGAGGGGCAGGAAACCCGGCCCCCAAAAAAGACTACTCTCATCGCCTTTGGAAGCGAAGATATGATTACCGCACCATGGAGAAATTAAAGTACTGGGGAGATCTTTCGCAACAACAAACAAGTACAAATGAATAGCAGCAAACGTCAACTCTACATTTTTTAATTTCGTGGACATGGCTAATTGGGTGTTTTGGAAATATACGGAACATTTTTGTTTTCCAATGTGCGAATCAGAATGAGAAAAAAGGGAAAATGGTAGAGGGTTCAACTATCTAGACCGGGCTGTCGTACGCCTCCTATTCACAAGTGCTATCCCACTACTGTTTGACGCGGGAACATTTGTCTGCTATCCTGGACCGGTACGTTCCCCTTTATTCAACCTGGTAGACGAAGGTTTCCCTCAGTTCACCATATTGACGCCCAACTTAGTGTGGACACTGGATCGACATAGGTCGACGTACGACAGGAATCCCGGTCTCAAGTCATTCGACACTACCTGCTCCGTAGTAGCTTGGTTACATGTAGGCGCACGCCACCACGCCCAGCGAACGTTTGACTATGTATGTATGTATGTATGTATGTATGTAAAACTTTATTTCAATACGCTAACTTCGACAATTATTTACAACTGGTTTCCACGAAGGGCGTATACACACAAAGAGCTAAATGTTAATTATATATAAAACAAAGTATGTAAGAATCCCACCCTAAAATTTTATCATCTTCCTCCCAAACCTCCACCCCCTAAACAAGTACCCACCCACCCTCACGCAAAACTAACCCCCCTCCCGCCCACAATCTATATTGTCCTCCCATCATTTGGTCCTGGAGAAATTAGCTTATCATCTGCTTAAATGCAATTTCGCCATTGTTTTAAATGACGTAATTGACTCAGCCGCCTTGACATCTTGCGGGAGACTATTCCATAGAATTGCTCCACTGTATCCAAATGTTTTCTTTAGAAATTCCGTTTTCGGTTTTTTTAACGAGAGATCAGTTTCGCTATTGCGTAAATCATAAATATTCTGCGATGCATTTCTCCGAGAAAAAAGATCTTTAAGGTTTGGCGCAGTGTGGTTCCCCAAGACTTTATACATCAATACTAGCTTGTTTTGTTCTCGTCTCCTAGCCAGGGTTTCCCAGCCTAATTTGTTTAGGACTTCAGACGATCTTACATCGTAGTCAGCTCCGGTAATCACCCTTGCTGCTCGATTTTGGAATTTTTGCAATTTGTCTTGAAGTCCCAAACCACAGTTATCCCACAGGGGAGAACAGTAATCAAAATGAGGCTGAATTAATGTTTTGTAGACATCATGTAAGGTTTTGTGTGGAACATAAGGTTTTATTCTTTTAATTGCTCCTATTCCAGCGCTAATCTTACGGCATACAGAATCAATATGTTTCTCCCAACTTAATTTTTCATCTAGATTTACACCTAGACATTTAAATGTATTGGTTTGTGGGACTGGGATTTTGTTAATCTCAACGGGTCTATTTCCTATTTTATGATTTAGATTATGCGTAGATCCAATAAACATGACTTTTGTTTTTTTTCCTATGATATTTTAGTTTGTTTTTAGCAAGCCATTTATGAATACTGGAAAGGTCCATATTCAAATTGTCAATCAATGTATCGTAATCATGCGAAGAGGAAGATATCTGAGTGTCGTCGACATAAAGACATGGGGTTGTCCTTTCTAAAATATCAGGCATATCATTAATATATAGCAAAAACAATAATGGACCAAGTATGGATCCTTGCGGAATTCCGCATATTATTGTTCTTGCAGAAGAAGTTTGATCATTAACAGAACACACTTGCTTTCTATTCCTTAAGTATGATTGGAACCATTTTAATTCAATGTCGTGAATTCCAAACTGGGTTTTAAGCTTCTCCAATAATATCTCGTGATTCACCGAGTCAAATGCTTTACATATATCAAGAAAAACAACTCCATTTATTTTGCCTTCATCCATGTCTTGTAGCCATTGATCACACATTTGTATAAGAGCACCTATAAGGTTCCATGTTTTGGTCTAAACCCGGATTGAAATTTAGACAGAAGCGCATGTTTATTCAAAAAGCTATATATTTGAGTAAAAACTTCCCCTTCAAATATTTTACTTATTATGGGAAGAATTGAAATTGGTCTATAATTTACGCTTATCCTCAGATTTGTAAATTGGTATAACTCTAGCTAATTTCCACTCATCTATATAAATACCAGTTCTAATCGATAGGTTAAATATAAAAGTTATAGATGGAGCAATAAGGGTTGATGTCAGTTTTAAAATATTCGCAGGTATTCCATCCATACCTGTCGCTTTTGAGACATTTAGTTTTTGTAGGCGTTTGGAAACACTATCTATAGTAATATCTGCGAAGTGAAAATTTTCTTTAGGAAGAAGCACAGTACTTTCAAATTTATTGTATTTAAACGCTGCCTTGCAGTGCACTTGTCTAATTTTCTCTGCACTATAGAGTGTTCTGAACTAAACTGGATTTCATTTAGGCTAGACTGGATTTAATTGGCGTTTCGAAACAATCAGATGAGGACTGGACGTCTAAAGAGTCACGCCCGTTATTGACAACCAACATTAATTTATGATTGGAGAACTTTACCTTTCACATGCCAAAATAGTGATGACATGCGTGAGTAATCTAACATTTTGCAACGGTCCTTCTCTTTTCAATATGATCTATATATCGTTATGAATTACTCTGGCACTTCTGCCGTTTAGAATATTTGTTCAACGTATGATTAAAATGTACATATTGTTCAAAAATAAGTTTAATTTGTTAAACGATGGGCAAAATATTAGTCCTTGCTACATTAATTTGGTTTCTTTTTGGCTTGACTCAACACAAAAGAGAAAATGACCGTTGCAAAACTTAGCGTTACGCCCCAAGTCATGACTATTTTGATATGCGAAACATGTCCAATCACGTTGGTTGGAAAACTCAGAAACAACTTTTTATGTTATAACGGGGTAACGCTTGAATGCAAATGTAATATAAGCCTTTAGAGAAGGGTCGCTAACACTCATATTTTTCTGGTTTGTTCCAACAGTTGACACACGATCATTCGACAATGAGTGTGCCTGCAACGGATGGCGTACAAATGGCAGAATTTGTCCTTCACAATGCATCATGGGACGAAACTAAAGGCTGTCTGGAGGAACTCAAAACCTCTGGAAATCAAAGAATACAAGCCTCTTATTAAGACCAGGTGAAAGAGGTGAAATATTCTCTGCTAAAACGACCAGCAAGAACCAATCATACCAGTTTGATTGCCCAGTGTGCGTCTACGATAATCAACGTGGTAGATTTGAGCCAATCATTCCTCTATCATATGTCATGCTCTCATCCAGTGTGCCTACTCATGTTTGCCGACAACGTCAAGTCTTTTTAACTGGTTCAAATATTTGAAACGTTCCTTGTTCTATTAAAAGTTGTAATTTTTTTAAAATAGATTGTATAAACTCAACCAAAATATTAATATATTGTTGTGTACATGAATGTATTTAATATTTGATGATACCATGTTTGTAAAGGCATGATTTTTGCTGTAATTTTTAGCGAAAACGTTTAATACATACGTTTCGTTAGTTTTATTGCGATTGGTGGTGGCTTTATTAAGGCAGGTTTGCAGGTTAGTGTTAGGATTGGAGTTAGGGTTAGTGTTGGGAGTTGCAGTATCGGTCACATTTGTTTTCGACCGATTACATGATGGCCGCGCCAGTAAATGAGGTATGGGGAGAGCATTAGCAACAACAACTTCAAATGCAAACTCAAGCTTCGACTGTTCATTTTTTTAATTTAGTGGAAATGACAAATTGGATGTCCTGAAAATATTATAAACATTTTTGTTTTCCAGAATGACGAAAAAAAGGAAAATGGTAGCGGGGTTTAACTCTCTTGACCGAGCTATCGCACGCCTCCTATTCACAAGTGCTATCCCACTACTGTTTGACGCGGGAACTTTTGTCTGCTATGTTTCCATCCTGGACCGGTACGTTCCTCTTTATTCAATCTGGTGGACGAGGTTCCCCTCAGTTCACCATATTGACGCCTAACTTAGTGTGGACACCCGATCGACATAGGTCGACGTACGACAGGAGTCCCGACCTCAAGTCATTCGACACTACCTGCTCTGTAGTAGCTCGGTTACAGGCGCATGCCACCACGCCCAGCGAACGTTTGATTAAAATTTATTTTATTTAAATGCTGCCCTGCATTGCACTTATCTATGTTTGTTTGCGGAATAGAGTACATCATAAATTCGACTGAACTAATGAAACTATTAGAAATGAAATTGTAAAACAAGGATTACTTTAGTGGGCTAGTGAAACATTGATTGATCTAAACTATAAACTGTATGGGCGACTAAACATGGACCGAACTTATAAGAAGTCATGATTTCATTTCAATCATTTGTAGACAGGTTTGACCTGATAAAACAGGCTTGTAGGTCTGTTAAAATTGGAAAGTATATTTTTTCAACTATTGTGCATGTAATAATCCTTGAACACTATATATATGCAGACCAGCTGTCTCATGTTATGAAAACATGAACTGACTATTGTAATCTGCTTTTGTCTGTGAAGACATGGATAGACAGAACTATTAATAGTCAAAGCTAAAATAAACTAAGCTGGACACGTGAAACAAAGACTAGAGTGAACGTGCTAGACTAACACAACGTTGATTGAAGTAAACTAAACTGCACTTGTAAACATGGACTGATCTGAACTAAACTGGATTTGTAATCAGGCTAGACTGGGCTTAACTGGAGTTTTAAAACAATATCAGGGTGGACGTCTAAAGGGTCGTCCCGTAATTGTCAACACTTTTATAAGTGCACGGACTGTCGCTGATAGGCTTGTCCACAAGTTATCCGCCAAATTCTTGGCAAGTTTTCTTTGTACGAGCAACTTTTTTTCGATTTAGCAACCTCTCTAGCTTTAATTAAGCAACTATTTGGAATTTGTTCCATAATTCAGTAATTTGTAGCGGTAATTATCGAATTTCGCTAGTATAGGCAACTTGTAGGAACGTTATATACTTATTGTTTTGTCGTTTTAACTTGTTAAAAAGTTTAGTATATTGAATAAATACAAATTGAAAAAGAATTCTCTCTCTCACGTAATTTATATGACATTTATTTATTAATTTATATGAGATTCAACATACAAGAGCAAGCTTCGGGGCTGTGGCAGTGGGCGAAAAAGAGTACTGTCTTTGGAACCGACGAAATGATCGCCGTGCTATGGTAATTAGAAGTACTGTGGAGAGCATCGGGAACAACAAGTTCAAATAGATTACAGGAAACTTCGACTCTACATACACTTTTTAATAAATGAAAATTGCAGACTAGGTGTCTTAGAAATATACGAAACATTTTTGTTTTCCAGAGTGCGAATTGAAGAAAAAAAAGAAAATGATAGCGGGTTCAACTATCTTGACCGGGCTGTCGCACGCCTCCTATTCACAAGTGCTACCCCACTACTATTTGACGCGGGAACTTTTGTCTGCTATGTTTCCATCCTGGACCAGTACGTTCCTCTTTATTCAACCTGGTGGACGAAGGTTCCCCTCAGTTCACCATATCGACGCCCAACTTAGTGTGGACACCCGATCGACATAGGTCGACGTACGACAGGAGTCCCGACCTCAAGTCATTCGACACTACCTGCTCCGTAGTAGCTCGGTTACAGGCGCACGCCACCACGCCCAGCGATCGTTTGACTAAAATTTATTGTATTTAATTAAATTAATGAAATGCAGACTCGCAATGGACTTATCTGTGAACTACACTGGATTTGTAAACAGGCTTGACTGGATATGTTTTGAGCAGGCTGCATGTACAAAAGCTGGATAGAGTATTATCAACTGGGTGGTGAACTTTTCAAACGTTGTGATAATACTTGAAAAACTATAATACTATTTAAGTGTAGACGAGCAGGGGCGTGTTGTAAAAACGTGTACTGAACAACACTGGACTTGTCTGTGAACATATGGATAAACAAATAGGTATGCATTAGTAGTTTTTATACATATTGTAAATAGATATAGATTAGTAAAACTTTAATTTTAATGAATGACATGTAAATATATAATATATATATACATTTTTATACCCAAATTTGTAAACACATTGTAAATTAGCGTAACTACTACTAAATGTGTTAATAAACCATTACCAAACCATTACCATTACCATCATGAAAAACAGCTATTGAACTGAACAAACTGGACTGGTAAAATATTGATTGAAATAAACTAAGCTGGATGTGTAAACATCGACTAAACTGAAGTCAACTGGACTTGTAAATAGACTGGACTAAATTGGAGTTTTAGAACAAAGTCTGGACCGGTCGTCTAAGGGATCGTTCTGTAATTGACAACATTTTCTTCACAAGAGTGCGAACCTTTGCTGAGAACAAGGGAGTTAATGACTGATGTACGATTTTAAAATGTTGATTATATACTGATCATCATTCCTGAGATTCAGCATTAAACTACACGCTTCGAGGGTGTGGGGACAAACCAGGAAACCCTAAATAATAGTTCTACTCTCTTCGCATATGGAAGCCTTAGATACGATTACCGCGCCATGATGAAAAGTACTGGGGAGATCTTTCGCAACAACATGCAGAGTACAAATAAATAACGTTACGGCAAACGTCAACTCTACATCTTTTTTGATTTTGTGGAAATGGCTAATTGGGTGCCTTAGAAATATACGAAACATTTTTGTTTTCCAGAGTGCGAATTGAAGAGAAAAAAGAAAAAGGTAGCGGGTTCAACTATCTTGACCGGGCTGTCGCATGCCTCCTATTCACAAGTGCTATCGCACCACTGTTTGACGCGGGAACTTTTGTCTGCTATGTTTCCATGCCGGCCCGGTTCGTTCCTCTTTATTCAACCTGGTGGACGAAGGTTCCCCTCAGTTCACCATATTGACGCCCAACTTAGTGTGGGCACCCGATCCACATACTGTAGGTCGATTCGAGTCATTGAATCGGACTCCAGTCGCTATTTTCAGCGACTCGACTCGAGTTCAAGACGAAAAATGACTCGACTCGACTCGAGTCACCAGCCCCAAATGATTCGACTCGGACTCGACTTGCTGATTTTTCCCCTAAATGACTAGCTCGAGGCAAATCAGCTACAACTTGTACAGAATAAATTCATCAAAATTATTGTGATTGTATTGCATGGGAAGAACAATGAGTCCTTCATGTGAACAATGAGAACTTCGAAACTTTATCAGAAAATATATGGAGATTTGCCTAGAATATATCCCTGACGGGAATGCCTATTACATCTCTGTTTTTAGAAACAACACTAAAATGGAGTCTCAAAATTTTGTGTACATATACTAATTTTGAGCGGCTTTTTTCATTTTTGGTATTCAATATGAAGTGCTATATCATTTTAAATTAACTTACAAGGCGTGATTAATTAGAGTCTATTCTTTGTTAATTCTGATGACTCCAGTTGCAAGTTATGCTAGTTATATGTACGTACACTCGATCAGCAGGCATGATGAGACATCTCATGTGGTCGTACTTAATATATTGACTAGAACTGAGATATTGGTACAGCCTAGCTGCCCAGATACTGTTATTAAATGACTAAAGTAATTGGCTTAAGAGGTAAATTTGATTACTAATTTCAGACTACAAACTATGGTAGCAAACCATTACAGAAAGCGTGGGGTGGACTTGATCAAATTCCCTGACTCAAGTTAAGCTACAGTAACTATTGACTCGACTCGACTCGAGTGAAGCCGCTGACTCGACTTGATCAGAAACTGAAATGACTCGACTCGACCTATGAGTGACTCGACTCGTGACTCGACCTGTAGGTGACTCGTTACAACACTGGCCGGGTCGACGTACGACAGGAGTCCCGACCTCAAGTCATTCAGCACTACCTGTTCATAGTAGCTCGGTTACAGGCCGAGCGAATTGTTGACTAAAATTCATTGTACTTAAACGCTGCCCGGCAGTGGACTTGTCTATGTTTCTCTGCACACTAGAGTGTTCTGAACTAAACTGGATTTTTATTTAGGCTAGACTTGGCTCAACTGGAGTTTTGAAACAATATCAGGACTGGACGTCTAAAGGGTCACGCTCGTAATTGACAACCAACGTTAATTTATGTTTGGAGAACTTTACCTTTCACATGCCAAAATAGTGATGACATACGGGCGCAACCTTGAGTTTTGCAACGGTGATTTTCTATTCAATATGATCTATATATCGGCCCCTATATCGTTATGAATTACTCTGGCACTTTTGCCGTTTAGTATATTTTTTCAATGTATGATTAAATGTACATACTGTTCAAAAAAACTTTCATTTTGTCAAACGATGGGCAAAATATTAGTCGTTGGAACATTATTTTAGTTTCTTATTTGCTTGACTCAACAGAAACCTCAAAAGAGAATTGGGAAAATGACCATTGCAAAACGTAAAGTTGCGCCCCAAGTCATCACTATTCATTATTATTTACGAGCGAAATTTGTCCAATCGCGTTGGTTGCAAAACTCAGAAATAACTTTTTATCCCGGTGTGGGGTAACGCTTGAATGCAGATGGTAATATAAGCCTTTACAGAAGGCCAGCTAACACTCTGATATTTTTCTCTTTTGTTCCAACAGTTGACACAAGATCATTGCGCAATGAGTATATCTGCAACGGATGGCGTGCAAATGGCAGGATTTCTCCTTCACAATGCATCATGGAACGAAACTAAGGGCTGTCTGGAGGAAATTAAAACCTCTGGAAACCAAAGAATACCAAGCCTCTTATTAAGACCAGGTGAAAGAGGAGAAACATTCTCTGCTAAAACGACCAGCAAGAACCAACCATACCAGTTTGATCGCCCAGTGTACGTCTACGATAATCTACCTGGTAGATTTGAGCCAATCATTCCTCTATCATACGTCACGCTCTCATCCAGTTTGCCTACTCATGTTTGCCGACAACGTCAAGTCTTTTAACTGGTTCAAATATTTGAAACATTCCTTGTTCTATTCAAAGTTGTAATTTTTTTAAAATAGATTGTATAAACTTAACCAAAATATTAATATATTGTTGTGTAAATAAATGTATTTAATATTTGATGATACGATGTTTGTAAAGGCATGTTTTTTACTGTAATTTTCAGCGAAAAAGTTTAATACATACGTTTCTTTAGTTTTATTATGATTGGTGGTGGATTTATTAAGCTGGATATATTTCGCTGGATGTTTTTCCTATTAACATGAGACACAGATTTTTTTGTTTTTCATTCCACATCAATCAAATCGGTCACGTTTGTTTTCGACTGATTACATGATGGCCGCGCCAGTAAATGAGGTATTGGGGAGAGCATCACCAACAAGAAGTTCAAATGCAAACTTAAGCTTCGAATGTACATTTTTTAAATTAGTAAAAATGACAAAATGGATGGCCTGAAAATATTATATATATTTTTGTTTTCCAGAATGACGAAAAAAAGGAAAGCGGGTTCAACTATCTTGAGCGGGCTGTCGTTCACCTCCTATTCACAAGTGCTATCCCACTACTGTTTGACGCGGGAACTTTTGTCTGCTATGTTTCCATCCTGGACCGGTACGTTCCTCTTTATTCAACCTGGTGGACGAAGGTTCCCCTCAGTTCACCATATTGACGCCAAACTTAGTGCGGACACCCGCTCGACATAGGTCGACGTACGACAGGAGTCCCGCTCTCAAGTCATTCGACACTACCTGCTCTATAGTAGCTCGGTTACAGGCGCACGCCACCACGCCCAGCCAACGTTTCACTAAAATGTATTGTATTTATACATCCTGCCTACATTGAACTTATCTATGTTTGTTTGCGGAATAGAGTACATCATATAAATTCGACTGAACTACTGAAACTATTAGAAATGAAATTGTAAAACAAGGATTGTTTTAGTGGGCTAGTGAATCATTGACTGATCTAAACTATAAACTGGACTTCTAAACATGGATAGAATTTAACTGAACTGAACTTGTAGACAGGTTCGCCTAGATAAATCAGGTTTGTAGGTCAGTTAAAATTGGAAAGTATATTTTTTCAACTGTTGTGCATGTAATAATCGTTGAACAATATATAAATGCAGACCAGCTGTCTCTGCATGTTGTGAAAAAGTGGCGGCATAAACATTCATCTTACATGTTTATACAGTCAACGGGGCATAACAATCCAAATTGAATGGTTATAACGTTATATCGGAGACAGTCAACGGCATAACTAGTCAACTTACGCCGTTTATGCCGTTGAATATGTTGGGCATAAACATTCAACTTAGATGTTTATGCCGTTGAATATGCTCGGCATAAACATTCAACTTAGATGTTTATGCCGTTGACTTTATTGGGCATAACCATTGGATGGTTATACCGTTGACTGTCTTCTGCATATATAACCATTCAACTTATGTTCGGCATAAACATTCCACTTAGATGTTTATGCCGGTGAATATGTTCGGCATAAACATTCAACTTAGATGTTTATGCCGTTGACTTTATTCGGCATAACCATTGGATGGTTATACCGTTGACTGTTTTCGGCATATATAACCATTCAACTTATGTTCGGCATAAACATTCCACTTAGATGTTTATGTCGGTGAATATGTTCGGCATAAACATTCAACTTAGATGTTTATGCCGTTGAATATGTCTGAATGGTTATGCCGAAGACAGTCAACGGCATAACGATCCAAGTTGAATGGTTATGCCGAAGACAGTCAACGGCATAACGATCCAAGTTGAATGGTTATGCCGAAGACAGTCAACGGCATAACAATTCAATTTGGATGGTTATGCCGTTGACTGTCTTTGGCATAAACATTCAACTTATGTTCGGCATAGACATTCAACTTAGATGTTGATGCCGTTGAATATATTCGGCATAAACATTCAACTTCACGCCTGTCAAAAATGCATCCAAAAGCGCCAATTAGAAGTGTCCACTATTTTTCTAATGGCTTACTGTATTTTGCGAAACGAAATTTTGCGAAACGAAACTTTGCGAAACTGTATTTTGCGAAACTGTATTTTGCGAAACTGTATTTTGCGAAACTGTATTTTGCGAAACTGTATTTTGCGAAACTGCATTTTGCGAAACTGTATTTTGCGAAACTGTATTTTGCGAAACTGTATTTTGTCATGATTCTGCTAGTAGAGTTGGCAAACATTTGTTTATAAAGACTGAAAATAAATCAAAGACAAAGTGCAGTATGTTGCTTTGAATGCTTTCACATGGAACTTTATACATGTACATATAAAATGGTGTGGATTGATTTTGAAAGAAAATATAGCGACATCACCATACAGATTATAAATAATACTAGAGAGTAGAGGGGGCATCGTAATCTTAATTCAGTCAAAGAAAGGGAACGTGTCTATTCAGTATTGGGGAGCCAATATGTCTAAATTCTTGTTTATGGTAGTTAACTGAGTTCTGTTTTGTTTTTTACCAAGCATTTTTACCACAATTTTGTTTATAACACATTTCAAACAGTGTTCCAAATAATGCTGATGTCAGTACTTTTGATATTTTCAAGAGAAATTAATTGTTTGAATTAAAAATTTGGGGGGAATGTTTGTAATGACATTCAAAGCATATAAAACACCCAGTTTTGTGACTCTTGTTTTAAATTTTTCTGGTTTCAAGTGCAACCCAAGACTTGTGTGGTGTTTATTCGTGATTTCAATTTCCCCACTGCCCCCCATTACCGCGCTCCCAAATTTCACCCGATTCCCCCTCTATCGTTATTTATAATCTCTATGGACACCACAGCCATGACGTATAGATCAGTGAACAACAGAAACGTTTGATGTTGTGAAAATGGCGAAATTGCAACTACATCAAATGTTTCTGAATTCTGTTGCTCACTGATTTATACGTCATGACTGTGGTGTCCATAGAGATTATAAATAACGGTAGAGGAAGCATCGAGGGTGAAATTTGAGAGCGCGGTAATGGGGGGGGGATTGAAATCACGAATAAACACCACACAACTCTTGGGTTGCACTTGAAACCAGAAAAATTTAAAACAAGAGTCACAAAACTGGGTGTTTTATATGCTTTGCATGCCATTATTACAAACATTCCCTCAAAATTTTGAATTCAAACAATTAATTTCTCTTGAAAATATCAAAATTACTGACACAGCATTATTTTGGAACACTGTTTGAAATGTGTTATAAACAAAATTGTGGTAAAAATGCTTGGTAAAAATCAAAACAGAACTCAGTTAACTACCATAAACAAGAATTTAGATATATTGGCTCAAACTCTCTCTTATTTTAGCATTTTAATTGTTTGCCCCCCAATAGACACGTTCCCTTTCTTTGACTGAATTAAGATTACGATGCCCCTTCTAGTGTTATTTATAATCTCTATGGTGGTGTCGCCATATTTTCTTTCAAAATCAATCCACACCATTTTATATGTACATGTATAAAGTTCCATGTGAAGCATTCAAAGCAACGTACTGCACTTTGTCTTTGATGATTTAGTCTTTATAAACAAACGTTTGCCAACTCTACTAGCAGAATCATGACAAAATACAGTTTCGCAAAATACAGTTTCGCAAAATGCAGTTTCGCAAAATACAGTTTCGCAAAATACAGTTTCGCAAAATACAGTTTCGCAAAATACAGTTTCGCAAAGTTTCGTTTCGCAAAGTTTCGTTTCGCAAAGTTTCGTTTCGCAAAATACAGTAAGCCTTTTCTAATTACCGAGAGGAAAAATGTAAGACTGGTAACTAATTCTAATTTTGAAAATCGCGCTTTTTTTCTTGCTTCTGGTACTTTGTAGGATGTGTAAGAATATATAGGTATATACGAGTGTGAAAGAGGAGATTCTGTGGATTATTTTTATCCCAATTATTGCCATGGTTACTTTATTATTATTCTAGTTTGCTGGGTCTTCTTCCGGGCATTCGCGCTGTCACAGTGATTTCGGTTCCCCCGTGAAATCGGTTCCCCCTCGAATAAAATTCCTCTATTATAACCGGAACTTAATGCCTATCGCAGTACCGGCAGAATTTCCCTTGTTTTGATCATTGAACTATATTTTATATACAATATAGTTCAATGGTTTTGATAAAAATAAGCGCGGGACTTTTGTCCAAATTTGCAATCATTAATGAAAATCTAAGTATCTAACTAAACAATGATATAGATTTTAGACTTTACATAAGTATTTCGTATCATTTCAAACAAAACTGATTGAAACTAGTATATATTATAAATACAGTATTAACATGGGTCTTGATGTCAATTTCGTGTCTGTAAAATGAGGTGTATTTCCAGGTATAAAGACAAAAAATTACCATAAGGAACAAAACTGACTAATTCAATTTTCTAATTTTTGAAAATTTTCAGCAAACAAATTCAAAATAATGATTTTATATATCAAATACCGGGCCGATCACTCCCTCGACGATCGCCATGTTGGACATCAAGGGAAATTCTGCCGCCTGCCTGTACTGTGATAGGCATAAAGTTCCGGTTATAATGGAGGAATTTTATCCGAGGGGGAACCGATTTCACGGGGGAACCGAAATCACTGTGACAGGGCTAGTTACGAAGTTTCAAAGGAAGTCGCTAAAATACACAAATTTCGGCTAGTTATATCTTTTTTGTTTATGCTCTGCTTCTTTTCGTTATGTTGTCATTTGAAAGATAAAGTGTCCATTTACAATCGTATGTTTTTTGTTTTTTGATAATTGTGCAATGAAATTGTAAAAATGCCGTGGAAAAGAGCAACACAATACAAGCGCTTTATAATTGTCGGGAGCGTATGCGACAGCAAAGGTTAAGCTAAAGCCATAGATAACAAGACGAAGCAGGGTAGAGCAACGGCTAAGAAGTTAAAAAGATTGGATAAAGGGTAAGATGAGCCTTTTAATTGTTTTGGTAGTTTATTTAGTACAAAATTTTAACAAATCGATGCCTCTAGGTATAGTCAAATCATAGTATTTACTACCATTTGCAATCAACTGGTCAGTGTCCAAATTTTTTCATGATGTTTACGTTTCAAAACGTTATGTTATGTCAGTCACAACGTCACGTTATTGCCGCGGAATGTACAGGTTTACATCCGGTTTTGACATGTTTTCAATCAATTTTGAAATGTTTACTCGTCCATTACGCTAGGTTGTTGCCTTGTTATTTAATTCACTTTGAAATCAAAAAACCCTTACACTTTACGGAAATGCAAGTGAATAGCCAAGGTCGTTCTTACAGACAAGGTGTAGGGTTGTCAAGGGACATGAAATCCTTGATAATCGACGAACTTTACCGTCGCGGTGGAGACAGATTAACACAATTCGTTCCTGTAGGTTCGTACACCGCTGTTTCTAACGCTATAAAAGTATCATTAAAAACGGTAAAAAAAGTATGGTTGCAGTATTGTAATCACTATACATTAGAAGGGAAAAAATCTGGAGGGGACAGACGTAGCAAACTGAAGTCCGAAGATCTAGAGCTTATCGAATTAATGAAAAAATATAAGGGATCTGTTTCACTCAAAGAAATTTATTCTACTATGGAAGAACTAGGGAATATACAAGGAGACATCTCGATCTCATCAATATCACGCGCATTAAAATCTAGAATGGAATCTGGCAAAACATATACGCGTAAGAAAATAACCCATGTCGCTTCACAACGGTTTGCTTATAACAATTTATTGTATACGCAAATATTTATGGATTACCTAAGCTCGAAGAATCCAAACAGTTTAAAGTTTTTTGACGAAGCAGGTGTTAAATATCCAAACGTTGGCATGCGTTTATTTGGACATGCACCAAAAGGAGAGCGGTGTGTTGAAGTTGTGAAAAAATGTGAATCGCCAAACGCAACAATCAATATGATTGTCTCATTGAACGGCGCTGAGTATTATGATATCATTGACGGGGCCTCAAATACTTACGAATTTTTAAATTTTTTTGGAAAAGCTTCGAATGCTGTTAATTTACAAACGTTGCGTCCAGCTCTCGAAATAGGCGACATTCTAGTGATGGACAACTTATCGGTTCATCATTACGAAAGCGGGGAAGTACTCGAGGAATACTTGCAAGAAATGGGTGTTGAATTGCTATATACTCCGGTTTTTTCTCCTGACCTAAACCCCATTGAGCATTCTTTCAATAAAATCAAGACAGTTATGAATTACGAACTTAAAGAAATAACGTCGGCAAATATGAAATTATCAGCAATGCTTGCAATCGAAAAGATTTCTCATGAGGACATGGTGGGCTTTTTCAAAAACACTTCATATTTATTTCCTTGATTTATAGTTGTTAAATATGTTTACTGTATATTAATTCTCGAAAGATTTACTGTAATACCGTTATTGTATGTGCGGGAAAAATTTCGAAGGACATTTTTACTGTAATAAACATTTCATCACAATCACAACACTGCATATCACTGTATTCAGTTTAATATTAAAGTTTACCCCGAGGTTTACCCTGCAGTAATATAACTGCATTGTGTACAGTATTAATAATACTAGAACCAACTGAGTTAGTTGGAACATACCAACAACAACAACAACAACAACAACAACAACAACAACAACAACAACAACAACAAAACTGTTCTGCTAGCCTATTCATAATTAACAAAATATTAAAGTTTGTTCTCGTATAGTATAAATATAAACAAAGCACAATGTCGGCATTGTCAATGCCAAATTGACAATGACAGCAACAACAGTGTCATAAATAGTGAAAATACGTTTAAAACTGACATTCAAAAACTGCTCATTCAAGTGGTATCACTATCCAAATTTCGCAATGAAAGTAGGGCAGCTGCTGCATCGTTTACAGTGCAAGTGACTTCGTTAATATTGACTGATTCCTGCACAGTACCAGCAGAACTAGATGCTGTTGAGTTGCAACTAGAAGATGGTTTTGAACGAGGTAATGTTGAGCGACTGTAGTAGGTTGACTCAATGCCATACTGACCGCGTTCATGTTGACACTCATTTTCCGCGTAACTAGCAGACAAAGCAAGTCTAAGTTGCTCATTCTCCTCTTGCTCATTCGTAGGCTTAATTCGATCAATCCAAGATTGATTGCACGATCTCGCACGGTTGCTTTTTAAATCAGGACTACACGATCTAACACGGTCGTATGTTGCGAGGTATGTTTCTTCATCAGAATCTTCAAGTTCAGAGTCGTGAGATTCCCTGTGACGAGTTGGAAATTGTATTCCATACCTTTCTAACGTGGGTCTGGCCGGGTTTTCACGTTTTTTCTTACTTTGTTTGAGAGATATATCTATCCCTGTGCAATCTTTAGATGTTAGGGCAGCTTCGAGACAAGTCAAAATCTCATGCTTTGGCGGAATTCGGCCATGCAGTGTAGTTTGACAGTACTTTCGCAGAACGAAAACATGTTTCCTAAGTAGACTCCAGTTTTTAACCCCCCCTATATTATATGACACTGGATCTGCATTGAGTAACGAGTCCTCTAATTTATTTAGGATATTGTCCTTTAAATTTTCAGCGGCTGATTTTTTGTTTTCCAGCTCCTCGATTAGTTTTTCTTTTTCAGTTTTTAGCTTTTTTACGTTTTGCGTCATTTGTTTTAAATTAACTTCGCCCGTGTGCAACTTATCTTCTCCGCACTGAAAAACAGAAGGGCACTTGTCAAATTCACAATTTCGCGCAGTATGACGAAGTCGCATATGACAATTCCTACAGAGATTTCCCTGTCCCACGTTATTACTCTTTGCTCTTTCAATTCTGCTTTTAACATTTAATTCTGCCATCATTACTTCTTGTATCCTTTGATCTTTTAATTTTCTTCAATATTTTGTTCAGTTTTAGCTAAGTATCTTTGGATCGGAGTGTTTATAAGAGTTTCGGGCTCGTGTAATTCATGACAAGTTGGCCGAACTTTCGTGATTGTGGATGTATTTGCAGTATGCGTACGCTTCGTTTTTGGTTGCGTATTACTCATAAAAATTTCCGATTTGTCTATTTGTTTCCCTTTATAAAAGTCAAGTCGTCGTTTACGGATTGTTTCAGAACAATTATTCTGATTATCAGGATCATTATAAAAGCGATCAAAAGTAAAATTTTCAGTACCTGATTCCATTGGCGTTGTAGTATTTGTTTTAGAAGCATTTCTATTCTTTCCAATAGGTGTAACCTTGTTGTGAACTCGCACACACATTCTAAACATGCCATCTGTATTTGGCACTGCTGTCAAGCATCGTATTGCATCTTTCAGATCAGAATCATCCATCATGGTAACAAACGTTTTTTCATCATCTCTGTATTGAATTCGAGCAGTTTGGCTGTCAACACCGCTCATAAATCCGCCAACTGTGTTTTGTACTATGCGTTTAAAATCTGCTAAATATAAGCAACTTAATTCACTTTTAAATAACGAATGTACTTTGCAGCGAGAAAAGTCTTCACCGTAAAGCATTTTAATTTGAACTAACATTTTCTTATCGAATTTTTCTTTTACGAATGAGTGGTGTTCAGAACAATTTGACAAACCACAGTTTAAACATTTCAAAATTGATTCAAAACATGTCAAAGCTGGATGTAAACGTGTACATTCCGCGGCAATAACGTGACGTTGTGACTGACTTAACATAACGTTTTGAAACGTAAACATCATGAAAAAATTTGGACACTGACCAGTTGATTGCAAATGGTAGTACCTGAAATTTATTTGATTTTAAATAGTTAATATTTAAGAATGACTGTGTATAAAAATCAAGCAAAATTTCAATCTTGGCACAAGCACAGAAATCGATTTTCTTCATTCATCTTCAGCCTTTTGATAGTCCTTTGATACTTAGAATCGTGATGTTGTAGTTTGATTTGCAAAAAACGCATTCTTTCGCGAGAAAATACGAAAAATTGATTTTACCCTCATACTGCGTCAAAACAATAGAAATAGGCATGGTGTAGGTCAGATTTTAAAACTGTTTCAGCATGCCTCAAGACAACAGAAAACTAGGATATTCGAACTCAATTTTAATACAGGTATTAGTAGTGAAACGCTGAGAGGTAATTATAGGTTTTTTGATCTATTTTGTGAAAGAGTAAAATTGAATGACGGAAGTGCCTTTTTGACACATTCATGGTATCAATTTTATATCCTAAATATAACTGGCTTTTTCGTTATGTGCTATGATATTGAAGTGTTGCTCTCGTGCATAACAAAAAAATTGAATTGGGTTATTGTAATAAAGCCGTGAAAAACCTAATTTCCACGTAAACAAAGCTATTTTTAGAACCCTACGGCTGTTACACCATCACTTATCGAAATCAAAACTTTGGTTGGAAGATACTTGAATCGATCCAAAATATACAAAAAAATAAAATTTTGCAAGATGGAAAAATGCTGCCTTAATTGGTTTTAAAACAGAATCTTCAAGCTTTCTATTGAATGTAATTTGTCACGATTGGATATATTTTACTATTTGCGGTAATTGCCTTAATTCAATCATTAATCAATCAATCGTAATAATATTAATTACACTAGAAACAACAACATTATTTAAAGAACTAGGTGCCTTCCAGCATTTTAAAACTTAAATTTCATTTAAAGTTTTGTATCATGGAAACCAATATTTTTACGGTGCAAAACTTTCCGGATATGTCAGTGATATCAATGAGTTAATTGACCTAGACTTGACTGTCCTAGATATTGTCGTAAGTCTTGCTATGCCAGCTCACATTGCACAGGAGCATTGTCCAACAAAGACAGTCAGTTTGTCTATGTAAGGCTGCTTTAAGTTTGCCTTGATGTTGTTAATGTCAATATCAAAATTAATGCACATTTGTTGCAGCATTGGAACTGCGAATCTTTTCATCTTTGAATTGCTAATGAGCACACACATGTTGTGACGGTCGTAATAAGTTGGGTGTTACAGAGATACTTCTTGACACGCCTGGCATTTTTGCATGCGAAATTGCACATTAAAATGTGTCCATTTTTTTCGTTGCCGCGCGACAATTTTGGGAGCTTGGTAGCAAATTTGATAATTGAAAAATTCCTCAAATTCCACGAGCGCGTGCTTGTGCGCGTTTTCCTTGAGGGTTTTTTAAGGTAAACAGGGAAACAGAGCGTGTCTCGGGGATCAAAATGATATCAAGATTACCATGGTTATGCGGAATGTTTTGCCAAAGGAGCGCTTGTTGTTCGGGGCATTTGAGGGAAATGGAGACTTTCGCATCATGTTGTCAAAATGCAACAACTTCGGCTTGTATAGGATTCCTTCTACAGTGTTATTTTCATTTTATTTTTGAATCCAATACAAGTCAAGATACCTATTAAAAATCGTATGTTTTTTGTTTTTGACAAAATGTGCTAGAAAAGATAATATTATACCTTTTACAAAGGCATGGACGCAGTAAAATATTCGATGTTGGAAAGTATATGCGAAGGACACAGTTAGGCTGTTGGCAGTTGAAGAGGAGAACAAAAATGCAATATATACAGCTCAGGAGCTTAAGCGATTAGATTCCAAAGTAAGAAAGGTTTTACATATCTCTTGTATTTTTTGTAATCGAGTTTCTGATTTATCGTGGTCTTTTATTCAATATATATCTTATATTATGAACTGAGCCCATCTTGATCGTACTATACACAGGTTTATTCTTGTCATGATGATAAATTTATATTCGCGCACAATTTTTGTCTACCACAGTACTTATTGAACTTGAAGCTCACAATTGGGTTGGCTTTAAATAGTATACAGTTTATAGTTTAATAATTAAAAATAGATATGCTATAAGTGATATAAAACAAACTATTATCTAGTCTAATGGGTTAGCATATTTGCAAAATTGTAAAGCACCTTAACACTTAGAAGTGTGGTAGACAAAATTAATAAACTCCCGGAAAGTAGCATGGTATATGAAATGTACATCCCGACTGCTAGTTGCTCACACACTTTGAATATTATTGTGTCCTCTGGCTGGAATCGGCCCTGCAATCCTGGTGCAATTGCAGCATTCTAACCATCAAAACTGAGCTACAGAGTCCAGTTGTCAAGCTGGAATTCATGTGTGTATAGTTGGGTACTGCTGTGTTAGTATCGCTAAATACCAAAATTGAAACCTATAACCTTTAAAACATATTAATATTTACTGATACATTGACAAGGCAGTAACCAGTATATATACTTGTGGTTAGAGCTCGACATTTGGACTCTGTACTGTAGCTCAGTTGTTTAGGACACTAGGCCTATATATTATTCTAAGAGATTCTGTTGGCATCCCACTCATTATAATAGTTGAAGGGTCTTGGACATGGAAATTGTTGAGTGGAAATTTATAGACACTTATTATTCCAAAACAAGGAACAGCTGTGAAAAAAAGCAACTGTAGGTCCCTGGCCGGAATTAGACCTACGATTCCAGTGCAGCACTCTAACCAACAGAGGCCAGTTGTCGAGCTCTCTTATGGGTTAGGGTCATGGCAGTACCTTTTTAGTATTATATATGTATATAGTACCTTAATTAGTATATATGTAATATACAGTAATGCATGAACAGGCCTTAGTCCAGCACTGCAGCATGGCTGCAGGTTCAATTCCTGCCTGTGACCTATAGTTGCTTTTCTCACAGTCATTCCTGATTAGGTCTAATAAATGTTTATAAAGTTCCACTCAATAATTTTGATGTAAAAGTCTAAGACCTCTCACATATCAATCTAACTAACTAATGATTAAACCTACCTTTTAATTTTCTTTTCCTACAGCTAATGATTTAGATTCAAAAATTCAATAGCAAGGATGAAAGTGGTTTTAATAGCAAACAACCAAGAATTGTTCATGTGACAAGAGCAGCAAATTGTAGCCAGTCTAACAGTAACTGTTTAACGTGCACAGTCTGTCGATCCTGGTGATCATGAGGATTTATCTCAAGTGGCAAAATTAATCGACAAATAGTTTTAGTCACAAAACACAGGAGTTTAAAGATTCCCAGTAAAGTGCTAAGTGTATTTATTATGCCACACACAGTGCATGGTAGTAACATAGAACTATCTTCATTTGAAGCTTTGTTTGGTAGCAGGGGCAAAACTACCCCCTTTTAATTTGGGAGTGTCTGCCAGAATTGCCCTGCCCAAACCGATGATGCCCTGCAGCGAATTTTCATTT